GCTCGGACTCCAGCCTCTGCTCCACCAATGGTCTGGTGACCTTGCGGCGGCGCTTTGACAAATGAAGCTGGCCTGTGGTTGATGGCACCTTTCATGAAACTTGAAACAGCTTCTTCTGCGTCCGTGATAATTTCAATTGGCTCGGGGCATTCTGTGGACATATTGAATTCGCCAAGCCAGGCCTGTATCCATCGGTGCGACAAACGAATGTCCGACTGGACAGGGGCCACGCCTTTCATTCCAGTGGTCAAATCTACCATGATTAGATACTTGAAAGACTCTTTGTTTGCTTTATCCAAGTTCAAGAAGAAAAAATCACATGCCATCTCACTGCTCAACACCGACTTCTTCTTTCTTCTGTGGTGAGTCGTGGACTTGGCTGCTTGGCAAGAAAGGCAATCTGCATGGAATGGAAAATGGCCTTGACGGCGGTGTTGTTCAAGCTTGGATTTATTCAAGTCTCGTTTTAGCAATACAGCTGGATGCTCTGAAGACTCTTCTGAAGGAATGGATGCAAATCCTGTGTTTGTGTCTACAATCATATTGGGCTCATAATCAAAAGGCTCGCTCGAATCCGGAACAGAGTTAGGCTCCACACTGAGGCTTTCACGGTATGGAGATTCACTATCGGAAACGGGCCTACTACTAACATATGCTGGGCTAGAAGAGGATGCAGCAGCGGGGTCAAGTTCTTTCAATGAAACATCTGGCTGTCTCTTGGTTGTCATCAACATGGATTTGTCAGTTTCGCTCAAATGCTCAACCGTGTTCACCGGACCATCATGGATTTTCCGACGGCTCCAAAATGTCTTCTGCAAATCGCGATCATCGGAGAAGTCCATGACCGTCTCAACTTCGTGAAAAATCCATGGCACATTCTGCCATGTCACCAAGTCCAAATTGTATCCTCCAAAGCACACTTCCAATTCACTTCCGGAACTGCTTAATGACCAACCCTTTCGCAGCAAGCTGCCCACTGACAAAACATTATTGGGAACATCTGCTACAAAAGCTGAAACTAAGCACTCTTTCAACATGGTGTCTGAAGGATCTTCTCTGGACGTCAAGCGGAAAAATGCTTTCAAGCAAACAAGGGAAGTTGGATGAATTGTCTCACCGCTTGCCGATGAAAACCCAGGGCCGGTTGCTGGTCCCAGCACTTGATTCTTTACTACTTCATAGTGTTTCAGGAAGCGAGAACTCACAACAGAGGCTGATGCTCCTGAATCAATGAGCCACCAGTGCAAATCTGATGGGACATCTGGCATCATTGGCATGAAAACTGCAGCTGACATGGTACAAACATGCTTGGTTTTACTCCACAAATCTGATGGGTTTCCAAAACATGAAAAATCAAAATCAGAAGAAAACTGTTCCTCCATGAGAAATGATCCGTGGACCAAATCGAACTGCTCTTCTGTGATCTGCTCTCGCTCAAACTGCACGATCGTGTCTTCAAACCAAGACTGAGTAGGCAAAATGGGATTCAAAGGGGCTGCTGCTTGCTTCGCAGCTGACGCACGGCTGCCATCTCCATTGGAACCCTGACTTTCAGCTGGACCATTGGTAGGCCACGATTCGCCTTCAGGCTGCTCAAGCATTTCATTGACTTTCTTACCTTTGGATCCTTTGCCTTTTCCTTTGTTCTGAGGACCTGTGCTGGAACCTTTCTCTTCACCAGATCCCTTTCCATCTTTCTTTGGAGCGGGCTTCCCTTCAAGCGGCTTGCCATCCTTGTCTTTCTTGGCATGACAATTTGAAGAGAAATGGCCTGTGCGACCACATCGGAAACACGTGGCATTCCTTTCCTTCTCTGACTTTTCACCATTGCCCTTAGCTGCACCTTTATTTGAATCTTTTGCTTTCCCCTTTCCTTTCTTACCATCTTTGCTTTTGCCCTTTCCTTTCGGCTTGTCATTCGTGTCAAACATTCCATGCATGTAGGTGGCAGAACTGCTGCCTGCAATCTCTGTCCAAGTTCTCTGGTTGGCTTCGTACAACAAAGCGGCATTTTTCATTTGCACATAGTCATGGCTTGGGCTATGCATGACAACATATTCCCTCACACCAACAGGCAAGGATTTGATGAGGACCATCACCAAATCACTAGGGAGCAGGGCCAAATCGGAAGCTGGTACATTCGAGGGCAACATCCGAGCAAGCTTGTTGTACCGGCTCTCCTCGAACTCAATTTGCTTGATTACCTCTGTCACTGTTTGAGCTTTGAAAGTTCGGCCAAGCAAAGATGTGCGGAAATGCATCAACTCAGCACGAGTCTTGATCATGTATTCTTGGACAATCCTTCGCAAAGCCTCATACCCGTTCTTATCTCCAGGGCCTTCTACATAAGCAAGCAGAATGATTTTGGCTCGCGGAGTCATCTGGAAGGTCTGGCGAAGCATTGCCATGAGCCTGGAGCTTCGGGAAATCTGGTCAGTTGACAAATCTTTCTTGTCAATTGGCAGCGGAGAAGTCGCAGAAAACTTCACTTCTGTGCAAAATGGCTCTGAAATCAAAGATAGCCAATTGCAAAATGAATCGGGCCACTGTTCCATGCCCAAAATCTCCTCCATTCGGCTTTTCCACCGATTCGACTCGACCACAGGCATGCTAGGCAGCCACTTGTCGCTTCTCTGCAGCGCATCTAGCTGTGTGGATCCAGGAACTTTAGGACCGCCGGCATTTGACTGGCCGCCCAAGGGGATCTCCGTACCATCGGGTAAGACAATTTTTACCCCATGTCCAGTGCTTGAGCTCGCATTCACTGCAGTATTTGTCATCGCCGATGCAAGTCCACCTGCACCTTGCTGAGCATTCACTGGCAATTGGATGGGCGGGTCTTGTCCAGAAGTAAAAGGACTGGCTTCTCCCATGGCACCGAAGCGATCCTCATTGGCAGCCGCCACTGACTGAGAAGCACTTGGAGGGATTGGCACTCTTTGGGCTCGTATATCATTCAGCTCATGCTGCTGACGCTCAAGGGTGTCAACAAGAGTTTTCTGGTGACCTGCAAGTTCTCGAACTGCCTTGCCAACTTCCGCTTGTAAAGTGTCCATGCTCATTCGGACTCGATTGAGTTGCTCCTCGAAGACAAAGGGGACGGAGGCGTTTGCACTTCCAGGGGCATATCCGGTTGCTGCAGGCAAAGAAACTCCTCTTCTCGTTTGAGAACGGCCTCTCGGTGACCTGTCTCTGGCCGGCTGCTCCATGGCTGCAAATCAGATTCTGCTAGATGTAGGTTCCAAGATCTCTTGTCAAGATCAGTTGTCTGCTGTCAATCCTGAACCCTGGGAAAACCTAGGAGAAGACCAATTCAAGGGGGTTCCTAGGAGAACACTGGCTCTCGCTACCATGCGAGAATTATCACCCCAGAAGAGTAGATAATTGCAACTGAGAATGTGGACAACTCTGCTTGACAACTCACGCCCTTTTTGTCTCACTGTGCTAGCAGAATTTACGCCTCCTAATCTTGAGCCAACATGTTGTTGGCGGAATGCTGATCTCAAAGGAAGCACGATGCGGCTGAGCATGTTCACAATGCTGTGGCAACAGGGAGAGCTGAAAGCTTGGTTGCGGTCAAATTCTCTAATTGTTTCCAAACTCACATTCGGTTCAGACGTCATGTCTGCTTACTCTAGTTCGGAAAAAAAACTCTTGCAAATTTGCACGGCTCTCAAATTGGAAATGTGATCAAAAGCGGTTCAAAAACTTCGATCTCACAGATTGCTTGGACCCAGGAAACGCAAGACAATAGGAGATCATCAGGATGTTCAAAAAAATCTCAACCGTGGAAACGTCGCAAAACGATTTCTGAGAAGCTTCAAACTCATAAGCTGTACCGCAGCTGATTATAAATTCCTCTTTCGCACGTCTAAATGTTTCTCCAAAATTGAAATCACTGTTCCGCGTTCGAAATCTGAACGCGCTGTCAGGAAAGTTGGAAATCAAGCTCTAAACTGCATACGACTTGCTCAAATCGCACAAAACGTGTCACATGCTATGCAGCAAAAGACACTTTCACAAATCTCTGAAATCACTTGAAAAACTGGGAGAAAATTATTCCAAGCTGGCAATGCAAGCTGAATGGCACAGGATGAGTTTACAGCATCATCAAGCAAGTTCAGCTTACTGTCTTGGAGGAGGTTGTAAAGAGTTTTGAGGTGTTCGGAGGAGCGCTCAAAGGGATTGATGGCACGCTGAGAACAAGCAAATCTCTAGATCCAAGTGTCATACTTAGATGGCTGTCGCTTTGCTCACGCACGTGGGTATGATTTGATATAGTATCACGTGAAGTCAAATAGACTTGAAGACTTTGCTAAAAGCAAGTTTGTTTCGATGTTTTGTTGGGGCAACATTTGCTTGTAGCTTGTAGCAAGTGATTAGTGATTGGCTGAGAGTCCGCCAGCGACCAAACAATGAATACGCATCGAAAGAGGTGTATGACATTCGCACCACCACCACCACCACCACCACCACCACGACCACCACCACCACCACCACCACCACCACCACCACTCCTGCTTCTGCTTATTCTGCTGCTTCTACCATTTCTACTTTTTTACATGTCTGCAAGTTCTTCTAAATCCAATTCTTTTTTGCATCTCCTTTACTTCTTCTACTTCTATTCTACTTCTTCTACTTCCTCGTTTTCGCTTATGTCTACTACATTCTACTACCATTTCTATTTCCATTATCTTCCACTTCTATTTTTACTTTTTAGTTCTACTTCTACTTTGAACTCTACGTCTTTTTCTGCCTCTATATAATATACCCTTTCTTCCGTTCGTACAACTGCCATTCCACTCATAGTTTAACATGTTTTACTTTCTCTTCTACTGTTTCGTTTCTACTTTCTACTCTACTTCAATTTCTTCTGCTTTTATGGCTGCCTTTACTGCAGCTAGCTTCAACTATGTGCCAAAACATTTCATCGTCAGAGTCCATATCTACATGTGGCAAGTTTGTCTTAGGGTTGGGATCTGTTGGGGTGTGTTTTTCCAATGGCAGAGAAGGGGGTTGGCATTTGTCGCGTGCTGCCATCATGAAAAACATGCCTCGTGTTTTCCTCCGGTAGTCAACATCCAAGGAGCACACCGTTGCCGAATTTATTGAATTCTGTGTCAGCGGGCGCACGGACAAGTCGGGCGAGTGGACTTCCAAGGGCGTCGGCAAGTACTTGGAGGGTGGCAAGGAGGCTGGCGGTCAATTGGTGGACCAACGTTTTTGCCCCCGTATTGTGGAAGGTGAGCTTCGCTACAATCTGATTGGTGACTCTTTGATTGGAGTCATTCACAAGAAGCCGAAGGAGGGAGGAATCTCTGCAGTTGGTGGAGCCGGTTCTATCTACACCTTCTACGGGCCAGACGAACCACTTTTCGCAAGCTTGACCGAAAATTTCTTGAAGAAAGACTTGCCTCACGTCATGCCTTCCCTGGACTTGGCAGAGGAGCCTTTGCCACTTTGGTGGACAACTGACTTCATCAACGCCTCGCCTCCAGGAACAAAGGTCGAGGAAGAGAAGTGGATTGTGGGCGAGTTTAATTGCTCTTGCGTAGGGATCTCCCGTTGCTTGGCTGCCTACTGCAAGGACGACACTCCCAACGCCTGCTGGGATGACATTTCGGAGGAAGACAAGGCAGAGGCCAGGTGGGATGGCCTATAGGAGTGAGTTCGGTGAGTTCCGGAAACCTTCCTTTCCAGTAGATTCGAATCGAACATGCTTCAAGTTAGGGCACGTGTCCTGCACTGACTTTTATAAGTTCGATCATCGTCTGCAAAGAGCATTTGCAGCCTGTAGGGCTATAGGGACATTGATGATTGTTAATCTAGTCTATGGGTCCTGGTCTTCCAAAAGGTTGGCACCTTCTACAGGATTTTCCTGATGGATAGTCCTTCCACTAAAATTTTGGGACCAATTGGAATGCTCCTCCCACAAAGTGTCTTAGGCCAAGAAGATGGGCGACCTGATGGGAGAGAAAGCCTTGGCAATCCTCTCGAAGTGAGTGTAGACAAGCCAAATTCATAGGCACTGCAAGCCTTTTGTTTCATCTGCATGCGTGTTTCCAGAGGCCGCCATGGACGGTGACAGTTGACAAGTGTTGACGTTGATCGACGTTTTCCATGTGGGAGGGGTTCCGCTGTGAACCTTCTGAATTGTCATCTATTTGCTTCTGGGAACACAATCGCGTGCGCTGTCTCTTGAACTTCTTGAATTTCCTGCGCTGAAGGTGGGGGACCAAAGACGCCAGGTTGGACCAATAGTTTCGACCGTGGCCCAAAAAGGATCCGCGCTGCACTGACCGCCGCGCAATGGACGCGGCCCCCAGATGCTTTGTTCTACACATGCACACAGACACGCATATTTTACATATATATCTTTTATGTTTGTTTTATTCTTATACTCATATTATGTACGAGCTGTTTCAGCGACAAATGTGATCTGAGTTGACGCATTTTTTTTTTGAACCCAGAGGATCCAAAAATTACGTTACATGGTTCAAGCCCTGGAATCTTGAGATCACTGAAATATTTGGATTCCATGCCCGGCACGTCCAAACTATCAACACAATCTCCTGAGGCATCGACATCTCCCATCCGGAGATGGCCAAGCTCGTGCCAAACGACTACGACCGGATTCGAGACGGTGCTGAGGTCGAAGTGATCAACTCTGCGATCCTTGGACAAAGAAGGGATGCACCAAGGATCCTTTGAGTGGAACAGTCAGAAAGGAACAACGTTTGCGAACACTGAAGAGTAGGCTTTGGTGAAAGGAATGAATAGAATCTTTGACTTTCGCTCCTGACGAGCTGAAAACAGTTTATATACATGCTTGCCACATTTTGCAAGAAATATATGTATATATATAAATGATTATACGTCTGTTTATTCATGTAAGAACATGCGCATAAAATTACATGACAATATGTATATGCATACATGTGCATGACGTAAGTAGAGGCGGCCTATGCATGTACATCTTTTCACCCACGCAAGATCAATATCAATATATATATATATATATATATATGTATTTGTGCATGTGATATTCTTTGTTTATTTCAGGTATCTGTGGGTTTGGATTCATTCCAAAAACTGAATTTTGAGGCGTCTGCGTGGGAGACTAAAAACAGGTGCTGTGTATGCATGAATGTAGTTTCATGATGTTTCATGGAAGACATTGCTCTAATATAATGCAGTGTACTGCAATGTATTGCGTTGTAATGCAGCACAGCGTCATGTAATGCAATGTGATGTATGTATGTTTGTCTGTCTGTTGGCGTGTTTGTTTGCCTGTCTGTTTGCATGGATGGAGGGATGGATGTGTGTATGAATGTACGGATGGATTGGTGGATGGATGTATGTATCTATGTATGTGATGTATGCAATGTACACAAGCTATGTAATGTCTACATTGCATATAAAGTGTGCGATGTATGCAATGTGTGTAATGCATGGAGCGTGGCTAATATGTGTAATGTGTGGAATGTTTGCAACATGTGTAACGTATCTCGTGCATGTCATGTATGTCATGCATGCAATGTATTTCCTCCATGTACTGTAGTGAAAAGATGACATGTATGCAATGCATGGAATGTATGTAAGGTATGTCAGATATGTTATGTAGTGTCATGCATTGCAATACAATGTGTTGCTACGTAATGCAGCGCAATGCAATGCAATGTATGTAACGTATGTTATGTGACTACATATGTCGTGTAATTATGTCTTGCATGTAATGCATGGAACCCAAGTCACGTATGTCATGTAGGCCATGTAAGTCACCAAGCGATGTATTGACTGCAACTCGTCATGCAGGTAGATTGATGTATGTAATGCATGGGCAATATGTACTGTATTGAATGTGTGTCTTGTTTGCAATGCATGCAATGCATGTACTGTATGCTTTGTACTGTATGTAAGGTAAGTAAGGTGTGTAATGGGTAATGTATGTATGCATACACTGCATGTCTGCATGCATGGATGGATGCATGCGTGTGTATTTATGTAATGTAATGCAATGTAACGTAACGTAACGCAACGTAATGTAATGGAACGTATGTATGTACGTATGTACGTGCGTATGTGGGTATGTTTGTATGCTTGTATGTCCGTATGTATGTGTGTATGTGTGTATGCATCTATCAGATGTATCTGTGTATCTATGTATGCATTTATGTATGCATGTATGTATCCATGTATCTGTGTATCTATACATGTATGTATCTATGTATTTATACGTATATTTATGTATCTATGTATCTATGTATCTGTGTATCTGTACATGTATGTATCTACGTATTTATATATTTATGTATCTTTGTATCTATGTATGGATGTATGTATGTATGTTCATATGTATGTATGTGTTTGTCCGTATTTCTGTATGTTTGTAGCCGTAGATGTTTTTTTGCATGTATGGCTGATTATGGCTGTAGGTTGAGTTTCGGACACACACGCGCACAGTCAGAGGTGCAGTTTATGTTTACAAAACATGTAAATATGCAACAGGTTCCCCCACAGACTCGCACAGACACATACATACTACACACATTCAACAATATACGTTCATGTGTCCAATGTGCTATGTTGTAGACGAATCAACCTATTCGGATTTCTGTAATGTGGACATGGGCAAATTTCCCAGTCTCATGCTCGACATCCCAAGGACCCAGCCGGACAAGACAGCCCCATTGGGTGTGAAACTCACATCGCCTCCCAAGGCCTTTCGGGAATTTGGTTCTCCAATGATTTCTTGTTATGGCACATCAGATTCTATGGAATTCGTACTTTGCGGTTGCTCTGCACATTTATGAATTAATTTAGGAACTGATCAGCAAATGACTGTCATGGCAACAATTTCATTGAATTTCATTGGCAAAAGGCAACTGGATCACTTTGCGCTTCGCAGGTGAATTTTGCGGAGGGCTACATCTACCGTTTGGATCGTTTGGCCAGCACCGATCAAACTCGACGGATGCTGGACGCTCTGAAAGTCATCCTGAAAAATCCGGTGGTTTGGCAGGGCATTTCAGCTCACCTGTTTTCATGATGTTGCGAGGTTTGTTTTTTGCAGCACCTGCAGAAACAGTTGCCCAAATGAACATGCAACAATATGCAACATACGTTTTTTGTTCTGGTTTGCAGTTAGCAATTAACAAAAATTGCATACTGAGCAGAATAGTAGCAATTTGGTTGTTCAAAACCTTGTTTGACTTCTCCAGAAAACGTTTAAAAAGAACTGTAGTGATGCCATGTTTTCATCAGCCGGACAATTCAGCTCAATTCAGGTGGTAGATCCGTCCCCGATGATTCCACATGAAATTTTACGGCAACTTGGCGGGGAATGGCGAGGAATGGTGGGGAGCATGATAGCCTTTCCGATATTGTGTTTTTGCCCATTAATTCACAGTATTCCATCGATCCCTGCTGGACTTGTAGGAAACCCAGTAGGAAACCCAGAAAACTCCCATACCACTGAAATGATGTGCTGGGTTGCGGGGAGATATTCCCAGTGCCCTCTAGATCCCATAAAGATATTGATTCATACTAGTACCATTGCAATTGGGCGTACTATTGGATGTTTCTGAGATTTCCTATGATTTCTGCAACATGGGGCAAGTGAGCAAGGGCAGCTAGGGACCAAAAAGAACAAGGTACAGTACGGTACGCCATCAAGTTTGAGGGTTTTGGTCCCTACCAAGTGACAAGCTTCTGCGCCATCATTAGTACCAACAACCAGACTTTTGACCTCCTGCTGTTTCCAAGGAAGTTGATTTGCAATCCAGTGGAGAAAACCTTGAAGCAGGCGGGTGTCAGTATGCAATCGACCAGGACCAGATAGCCAGATAGCCCCATTGCCACGCCGAAGACACCCTGCAGTGAGGTTCATGCAAAGGATTCATCCGCAGACAATCTTTGGAAGTGAGATATGGTGAGATACATTTCAAAGATGTCCAGGTCCCATTTCATCACAGTTCATCATTGTCTCATGCATGTTAATATTCCATCATAACTCATCATAACTCTATGTATATTATGTATTTCCATCATTTTTTCCATCATTTTTCCATCATATCTACATTGGTGCATTGGTGCATTGGTCAGGCGGGACTCCAAGACCTGCCTCTGGAATCTGTGGACTTCAGCGGAAGCAAACAGAAAAGCGAAGGCCTTGCAGCCTTCCAGCAGGAGGCGCCGGGCGCCGGCTGTGCGCTGGCCTGTGGAAAAAATGGTGATTATATGGTGATTGTATGGTGATTTAATTCTGTTTTCATGGTGATTTAGTGGTGATTTGATAGTTATGGTGATCAAATCAGTCATGTATCATCATGTATCCTGCTGTTTGCTGGGATTTCTGGGTCTTCACTTCAGTGTTTGCAAGGCGAAGCACGTTTACGCCCACCTTCTGAACAAGAGTCAAATTGATTCCTTAGCTGCTTGGTCCAAGAGTCGCTTTTCGTTCAAGGATTCTGGAATGCTGTTTTTGAACAGTGCAGCTGGATCATAAGTGTGCTTTTCAGCTGCGTGACTGTAGTATTTGCCCCAAAAAAATGCCAAAACAAACCGTAAGGTTGTATTTGGTCATATTTTGACTGATCATTTTTGCAGTTCTCCAGTCTTTTTGAATGATTTCAACCTCTGTATTTGGTATCATTTGGTGTTTTCTTCGCATCACCGTCGCCGCCCTGAGGTTTTATCCTCCACACGTCGTTTGACTTTGATCCAAGGGCCACCCGGAACCGGTAAGACCACGACCGCCGTTCAGATCGTCGCGGCAATGGTTCGGTGACGTCGGCAATGATTTTTTTGGGAGTCAGCCAGTGGGATAACTATGGTTATATATGTAATGTCAATGAAGATAACCAGTGGATTAACCATAGTTATCCCGATGGTATGTCAATGTGTCAGCCGCCTTTCATTATCAATGTCAGGCAGACGTTAACATACCGTTTTCGTGCTTGTTATTGACGTTCGCTTTGAAATGTACCAAGTTGATCCGGCAAAGCACTCCGAGTGTTTCTGTTGGTGTTCGCGGCTGTGGTGGAGTCAAATTTGGATCTATCAGCTGCAATTTTGGAAAGGCCATCAGTCAGTAAAAATCTCAGGTATGGCCTGGTAGATCTGCCAATTCTTGTGACAGCCGACAGTAACACTGCGGTGGACAATTTGGTGAAGGCCATTACGAATTTGCTGCGAGGGTGTTTTCGCAGAAACACTTTCTATTTTGCAAGCTGTATGAAGCTGAACAGATGAGCCAGGTTCACCGAGTATATTTGATGCAAAAAAGCTTGCTGTCTAACTGGTATTTCAGTCCATTTCATATTACGGACCTGGCACTGGTTTTGGACCTTTTTGCCGGGTCACCAGACGCTTCATCAGAGTCCTGGGCGCAGGGCATCGGCAAGACGGGAGTGAACATTGTGCGTGTTGGACGGCCTGAAGCCATCCGAGAAGACGTGAAATCCTACGCCCTGGATGGACGTTGGAAGGACAGCGAGAGGGATGATGGGCCTACCATGGCAGGGTTTTGCAAGAATGAACTTTGTTCCCATGTGTTCAGATGTGTTCAGTTTACAGCGTCAGTAGACAATGTAGACATGCCACACAATTCTCAGGACTTGAAAAAAGCAGAGGTCGTGTGCGCCACATGCATTGGAGCATCGGGTACAACCCTGGACAAGGTGGGATAGCAAGAGTTTTGCTTGAAAGAACACTATGTCGAGTCTAGTTGTTGCAGTAACTTCTACGATGAAGCACAGCCATTGGGTGTCAGTTGCCTTCATCTCTTGTGCTATTCACTCTGCCAGCTGTTTGCAAACAAATTATGGAGTGGTTGAGGTGCGTTTTCCAACAGTCATCGTGGATGAGTGTACGCAAGCTGCAGAAACTGCAGCTTTGGCCCCTTGGCGCTTGCTTTACTCTCCGCTTCCTCTCAGATCTGTCAAAATCTCCTGATGAACCTTTAATTAGATTATTAGATTAATAAGATCTGTAAGTAGAAGGTGAAACCATCATCCAGCATCCTATCTCCAGCTGCAGACCTCTGAGTTGGCAGTAGTTGGCATCACCTGAGGTTCCGATTGCCCGGGGATGCCAGCAAGCGATCCTTATTGGCGACCAATGTCAGTTGCCTCCCACGGCCACTTCGGCATGGTTTAGGTCGATTATGTCAGCATCTGCAGTCGAGGAGCAGATTTTGACGACATCCCAGGTGCTCTCCGATGTGGCAGAAACTGAGAACCTTGGAGAGTCCTTGTTCACACGTCTAGTTACCCAAGGGGTTAGGCCGGGCCCGCTGGCTGGTGGAATCATAGATATCATAGGTTGGTGGTGACAGAGCTACGGTACGAAAACCAGAATATGAATTGAAATGAATTGAATATGAAAGATTTGGATGCACTTCTAGTTGTTTGTGGTGACTCCCAGCTGCCTCAAAGTGTTCTCCATGGGTTGACATGTTTCAACTCTCTGCACGTTTCTAACGCCTTGATAGCGGCCTGGTGAGGCTCCTTGTCAATTCTTTGCAGATCATTTTTTGAAGGTCACACTTGCGCTGATTTCGTTTGATGGAACATATTGGAACATAAAATCAAGAAAACAGTTATTTGAATTGTTTGAAGAGGTCCTTTTCCGTTCCGTTGCCCCTCATGGTTCTAGAGAATGCACACTTTTTGTCAAAATCAGCCATTGACAGGCCTTGCCTCTTGGACACTCAATACCGTATGCATCCCTTGGTGGCAGAATTCGCTTCGGCCCCGTGGCCAAAGTCGTGCAACACAAATGCAGGACTCAGGAGCAAGTACAGCAAACCACTGTAGCACATTGTAGCACCATATCAAATTCGACAGCACAGAAACCACATAAAACATATTAAAACATCATGAACCGTACATGCTGTCTACTTGCTCCATGTTCCCACAATCAATCTTCCTCTTTCTTCATACTCTTAACTCCTGGCAATTCCTGGCATGTCTTTTGGCGGGAAGTCACCAAGTAAGTCCGAAACAAACTCAACAAATGTCTACGATGCAAATGAATGTCCGAACCAACCTTGAATTGATTCCAACATTCTCCAACTTTGCCACTGCCGAGGCAGCCTTCTACAACGGTCGGCTGCAAAACGGTGTATCTCACATTCATCGAAAACCACCTGAAGGTTTTCCCTGGCCACAAAGGCCAGCCCAGGGAGAGAGCTCCCGGCCATTTTTCAAAACTGAGATTTGCATAGATTTGCTGTACCAAAGTCACTATCAAACATATCAAACATTGAGGAAATCTCACATTTGACATCAACAATTGGAAATCCATATAATATATTTATATGATTATATAATTATGATTATGTAATTAACTCGATGAATCAGCACTTCTTTTTGGCCGTTTGTCCAATCTCCAAAATTGACCACGACCAGATTCCAGGCACATGCCGGTGGCCTTCATCAACCTGGAGAAGTGCGAAGAGAAACGCGAAGGATTGCCATGTGCAGATGGGGTGATGCATGGAACGGAAGGGCCTCGAATCCAAGTTGAAAGGTCTTACTGCTAGGAGAAAGGGTGGTTAGTATCGGTTAGTAGTTGTAGTAGTTATTGCATGCTGAGATATGAAGTTGACTCTTGTTACTCTTGTTGCGTCTTTATGGGTGTGCTGGCATGCTGCATGCCGGTGCTATCGAGTCTTGGAGCTTTGCAAAAATTGGGCACATCCCGTTGGGAGATGGTCACGATTTCTATGTGCCTAACAGTGAACATCATAATTCTTGGTACCTCCCTGCAGGACATGGCTCCTCCTACATCAATCCTGCAGAGGCCAGACTCTGACTCATTACAAGCTCAGAACTATACAGATGGATGCACAAGGCAAGAACAAACAAAGCTATGTTAATGTGAGCCTACCAGATGCAAGTGACACGTAATCATCTAGGATACTGAAAAGTCTGCAGATTCTTTTGCTCCCGTTTGAAACATAGATTTAATCTTCCTGCTGTTTCAATGAACTAGATGACATCTAGATGACATGACTGGCATGGGAAGTTCCGTCCTCAAGATTTTCAAGACTAGAATTCACGACTTAAAGATCGATTATTTGCGGTAGAACCAGCCTCACAAGGTACCACGGGTGCGAAAACCTGATGCAGCTACAACAGCATTGTTTTCTCTCTTTTTAGACTGCCTTGCAGGCAGAAAAGACGATGTGGGCACTTCTCGAAGTCACAAAGAATGGCAAGATCGGGCCGGAAGACGTTGGCATTGTGCGACTTGGTCGCAGCCTTGAGAAGCGATGAGTTGGACCATGTTGGACCTTTGTTTCGTGAAAATTTCCCAGTCATTCCCAGTCTAATGAAGGCATTGTGTCACTCTGGTGAAGATATTCTATAGAACTTGCCACGGACTGGGGATGATGGCAAACACCCCAGTTTTTGGCGGATGCCACGCGCAGGACGCCCTACAAGGGACAGGTGAGGCTTTTGAAAAAGTTGATTAACGAACGTCCCGGCCTTCAGAAGCAACTTGGCAAGATAAATTTGTTGTGCTTTCTGGTGACTTTGATCTTATTCCCTTTTGCTGCTGTTCAAGAGATGGTAATGGTAGGCTGCTTCTGCGGCTGTTGTTGCTGCTAAGTTTCTTGCAGTTGTCTTTGCTGGTGGTATCGGTGTTGGTATTGTTCTTGTGTGTGTGTGTTCTTGTTCTTGTTGTTGCTGTTGTTGATGCTGCAGTTGTCGCTTTTGTTCTTAGTGCTTGTGTGTTGTCTGATGTGTGTCTTTGCTAGGGTCCGTCCTTTGGACTGCATGTCGATACCTTGACAAGAAAATGCTATCTCAAAGTCTTATTGTCCAATTTTTATCAATTTTCCAATTCATTGATCCAGCATTGAATTCTGGTTTTTAGATCGTGCTGGTTGTGCGATCCATGTCTTGGACTGAGGTTCCGTAGTGGCCTTGAGGTGGAATCCGTTGATCGATTCCAGGGTCAAGAGAAAGAGGCCCCAGCTGGGTGCCGGCGGCAGCTGTTGAGGAACGGGCAATACTCAGACATATCAAGCCACGGGGCGTGGGTATGGACACTGGACGTTGGAACATGTTGGAACTATTATATATATAATTATATATAGATGGATGCAGTCAAGGCTTCAGAGAGGGCCAAAGATAATTAGCCGGGAATCTTGCTGTGGCAGATGAAAGACTGATGTGACTGAAACGCAACTAGCACTGTGCAGCTTTGAAGATCTTGGGTCAGATTGGAGCACCTGGATATTGCGAAGTGACGTTTTTATTTGAGCCTTTCTGACCAGGTCATCATTTTTTGTGCCGTCCGAAACAATCGCAGCTTGTCTATCAGTGGAGATCGCAATTTCAAAATCATTCCATTGTCAAGTTTCATTACAGACACTGATGGCTTTGTATGTTTATGAACATAATTATCACTCATCCAAACAGACAGTTAAGAAACGGACCCCCGGACTTCAAAGACACTCAAGTCGAAAGGAACTACAAAGCAAAGGAACGCAACAAGCTTCTGCCACGTTTTCCCCCAGTGACAACAACGTCACATCACATTGATTTGCTCCCGCCAAGGTGAGGGCAAGGTAGGCTTCTTGTGCGACTGGCGTCGGCTCAACGTCATGCTGACGCGTGCACGAATTGGCCTGATCGCTGGGGTCCCCATTGATTTTCGACAAGAGATTGGGGTGAATCCTTTGATGTGTGCTCCTTTGTACTGAGACCAGATGATGTTGTATAGTTAATATAATCATATTATCAAATTCGAGCATGGTTCGGGTCGACGGTATAGTAATATCGCTTCGTTGCATTGCTAAGGTCATCGGAAGTCGAAGTACGTTGATGTCAGATCCGCTGTGGCACGAGTGGTGACTTGGACTCACGCTGTGCTCCAGACCCCAAACAGATAAGAAACTGCTCCTGTACTACTGCAATATGATAATATGTATTAACAATTTAAGATATACCACTAGACAGTTGACGGTCTATAATAATAATGTACAATATTATGAATCATGCCACGATTGTATACATCTAGAAATCGAAGCTTGTGACATCTGGCACCAAGGCTCATTTGGGCTGCAGCTCGTGGGGCCATTTGCGGTGAGAGCGCCAAAGGCTCTTGGGTGCCAAGGTGCCATGGCCTGGGGATGGAAATTTTCTGGAAATGGTGTGAGCTCCGATGTGTTCAGAACGGGCTATTATCAACTTAAGACTTATGGCATATAGATGCATAATATATATATATATATATGTACAGTAATATTGTATTTATTTATTGCTTATGCCACTAAGTTGATTTATATGATTGATGATAAATATATGATAATACTTTGTTTGTTTCTTTTGGGGGATATATCAGATTTAAGAACATTCATTTATACCAACTATGTTTAGGTAGAATAAATACCAGGGTTTTGATCCATGGTGCCTTGCTGAGAATGGAGCCGAATGGAGGTATCTTGTGGATGACCGCGATGGTATTTGGACAGTGAAACAAGGCCTGTTGCGGCTTGGGTCCGGCAGAATTTTTGGGATATATAAAGCAAGGATAGCACGGCCTGTTCGTTGCATCTCACGACAGTAGTTTGTCAGAGATGCTATAGCTAATCAGCTAATGCAGAATTGGGGCAGCTGCAGTGAGTCTGGCAATATCTGGCATCGCAAGATCAAATGCCATGCAGCAATGCAACTGCCAATTTAGATCAAATTATATAGAAACAATTTGTTCTGGCTTGAAAAACTCGTGTCACTAGACAGAATGACAGATGTTCATGTCACGATGCTTCGGGCTTGAGGCATCATTGAGGAAGTCCAAAAAGGCATCACGCCGAAACCCAGTACAGGCTGGACATACCAACTTGACTTCATGCAGATCCAGCTTGTCATTGGTGCAGAATCCCTTTAGAGCTGGATGATTTGTAGTGAGGAAATTCTTGTTCGATTTCCAGAGGTTTTCTGATGCTGGAAATTGTTGGAATTCCATCATCAGAGAATTTTTTTTGTTGGAGTTCCACTTTTGCAGCGTTCATCTTGGTGGTAAGTTGTGGAATCAGGCGGCAATGATGCACCGGCCAAAGTAGAGCAAAAGGAGGAGGATATCCTCGACAGTTGGGAGGACTGCCTTGAAAGCGTTGATCTCTGGATACCTTTCTTGAAGTCTCAATCAGATGCAGATATGTATTGACAGTACTTGTACCAAATCCCAAGCATTCAATTATGTTGGAGTCTATATAAAGGATCTTTCAACCACCGCTCCCATTTGAACAAATGAGTGATTTTTTTTTCTCAAGACCACCCACATCCAAAGCCAACGATGACAGGCACTAAGAAACTTGTTTGGTTGGATTTTCCGTGTAATTTTTTCGCAGAGCCCACTTCCTTTCACATGAAATGACCTTTCCATGTGCCATGAGGACATGGAAAGCCCGCTGATGACGCCGGCCAACGAAAGCCAGCAGCAGGGCGCCTTAGAAAAGGCCCTCGAAGAGGACTGGCATGGCAGGATGCGGTTGATCGGTGGACCAACTGGGATAGGTTGCCGACCTATGTCGCAGGACCCAGCAGAGCTGCCGGAAGCAGACCCAGAGGCTGCCAAGGTGCGCCAGACTGCCAGGATTTGATACATTTATATCGTGTCTATTTGTATCATCACTACAGTATCATCTGTAGATATTTGTGTCATAGATTCAGTAGGTTCCAAACAGTATGATAATGAACTAGAAACATCTGGAAAGCATTTTTGTGAATTGAAGATATTGAAGTGCATTGGACAAGACAGAATGCAATCTCCTTGAGAACCTGCGAGGACCAGGAAAATCCAATCCCACCAGCTGAATCCGATATGCTGCTGAGACCCGAAAAATCCAGAAAGTGCTTTTTTCTTCAGATTCGAAATATTCCAACAATGAAAACAACAGAAAGTTTCACAAAGTTATAAATTTGGTTTGGTGGGGTTACTCACATATAAATAATCCCAGCTATCATATATCATGAATCATACATCATAGACCATTAAAAATATCTATTATCCCAGCTATTCACATTATATCATATATCACATTATATCACATTATATCATATATCATATTAATTATCCCAGCTATCACAGTACTATAATAGCTATTCACATATAATGATGCGATACCCCCAGGGGATTCCATGGCTTTTGGTCGCCATGGGTGCACCAGGCAGTATGCTCCACCCGACTAAAGAAGACACCGGTGGACTCTGAGCTGTTGGCTCGCTGAGACGAGTGGGCGAAAAAATTCTACCAAGGGATACCTATTGGGTCCAGCAAATGAAGGAGGAGTCATATATATTCATATTACTAGTAATATATATATATATATTGATATATAGAAAAACATAATTTATATCATTCAATATATATATATTGATAATATGTATATATATATATTATACACACACACTATATATATATATATTACGTGTACATTTAATTCCACATGTCATATTTTCTTCTGTGTGTATATAGATAGACCAACGAATGATGATATGTGCACAATGTCAACCCAGGAAAGGGGTTTGCCACCAAAAAATCGAATCTTAACACTTCACCGCAACACCCTGAGTTTCACGAGGGCTTTTCTCATCCGAGATAAGACTACAGTATATACAGTATATATATATACATACTCTATAGATGTATTGAGATGTATTTAGTTACCAGTAAAATGATAATTGACTCATTGAACATAATTCTTTAGATCCGTATTCAGATGTATTCAGCTAGCTCACCCACCACTGGTGTCTCATTATGATGCACCACCAATACCCACTCGCTCTCGAGCTGACTGAGTCAATCCATTGGACGTTTGTTGAACCAGGCCCATAGCGGCAGTCCTTTGAAAGTAAAGATCTATGCAGATACGTGAGATAGATATGTCCCAAATAATGGTATCTATGGTATCTATGAAAACAATGGGATCTATGGGTTTTACACTCATTTGCCCCAAATTGGGTGCTTTGATATCAAACAGCACCAAACTTGCAGGTAATTACCTCAGTTCCCCATTTTGGAACCAGCCCAACTGTTGATGAGTTTTTAAATGTTTGGAGATTGCTCAGAACGTATCGAAACATGACAATTCATTTTGGACTCAGCGCATGCAGAGATTCGTCATAGGTCTGCAGTTTGAAAAATGATAGAGGTGCGCAGGCATCCATTAAGGCACATCATGAGCTTTCCTAGCCATTTTGAAGTTTCTCCAAAGCCCATTCACCTTTTTAATTTTTTGCCGATGTTTTTTGAAGGTTGAGGTGATTGTCAGATAAATTACGCATTCTACTTACTTGTAGAAACTCTCTTCTCATTGACTTCACTCTGGAGACACCATTGTTTATCAGGCAATACACCGTTCCATGCTCATGTGATGTGAACAGACACTTCAAGGACTTAGGGTATGCCGTCAGATCATGTCAGATCACTATTTTTCTATCTACGGCCTTCAAAACGTCCAAAATGCCCAGAGCATTGCCCAAATTTTCTCGAACAGGGACTACGGTCAGCTGTGTCAACGAGCGCGAATCCGCATATCTAAGGTGTCAGATTCATATTGCAGCTAATACTTGTATCAAAACAATTCAAAACATGCATAATTAGCAGGCTCTACATCAGAGTCTCCAAAGAGCATGACTGGTTGCGGCCAGTGCGAAATGCAGAGCACAGCTGCTGTGAGACGTTTCATTCGTGCAAGAACCTCCTCTCGCTCTCGCAAGCACAATTTTCACAGTGTTATTGAATTCATATCTATTTATATCTTATTGCTAGAGTGCTTGACTGCATGGTTTCGATTCATTTTGATGACCAACACATTTTGATACATTTTGAGCTTTGGCAGTGTCAAATGACCGAAATGCGCTTGAAAGGGGGGCTTTTGGCTGTGAGTCGTTGAAAGGCTCATTGCTCTTGTAGCTTCGCGCTCAGCGCTATGCGCCAAGCAACCGCGACAAAATGTTGGTGGGATTATAGAACCTGCAGTCACGTTGGGATGTGTTATTCTTCGGTACCCCAAACCGATATGGTAATTGATGGGAATATGATCCGGAAGACGAGCAGAATTTCAGGGTGTCATGGTGGGACAGAAGAGGACACTTGCTTCAGCCACAATGGCGGCCACGAAGAAACAGATACTTGAACTAGTAACTAGTCATCAAAGTGCACTGCCCATAACTGGGGTTGATTCATCCTTGTTTTTTGCCATAGTTCCATAGTTACAGCGAGGAGAGCCACCGCAAGCACACTAGCTTGTAGATTTCTGCACAGATTTGAGTGGACCTTGGCATTGTTGTCCCACATCATATGCTTTGAGTCCCACAAAAAGTATAATCAACTCACCATGTACTACATGACTGCTACTTTGACAAATTGGTTATTATAAGTCATCTTCCAAGGATGTTAAACAAGACTTGTCGCAGGAGGGGTTGAAGGAAAGCTTGGATGGAAATGCTATTTTCCATTTCATGTATATAACTCTTGATACTCTTGGGAGATGTGAAGATTTTAAGCTGTTGGAGGCGCCCTTAAATGTGAATCCCAAAGCCACCAGTTCCACCTCGAATGCTGCTGACTTTCTGTGCAGGTGGGGTCGCCATCTGTGTCTCTGACCAAAGCGCAGCAAGCAGTTGTGGACCTGGTTCTGTCACTCGGACGCAAGGTGCCATGGCCGCCATTGCTGAGTCATGCCACTCGACACCGGGCCATGCCACTACCACTAGTCACTAACCGAGGCGCGGTCGCAGCGTTTTCCTCACAGGCTCGGGATCTGCACTGTGCAGATCTGTGCTGGTTGATATCTGCAAGAAGGTAGGCTAAGAGAGGCCTTGGACACCAAGCGCTGCCTAAGTCGCATAGATGGTGTTGATAGGGCACTGTCGATTCCGTAGAAGTTTGCAGATTCCCCACGAAAACGCTAGAGCCGCTAGTTACTATCAAGCCCATACAGTCATTGGTTTGGGCAGTGCTGTACATTAAACACATTCTGTGCTCTCCCTGTTTTGCATTGTTTTTTCACATTGTTTTCAACCTCCACGTGCAAGGAGTCATTGTGCTGAAAGTTGCTTCTGTTTTTTGGTACTTGGTCTCAACATCCACAATTTGCAATAGAACATTTTTGAGAAAATTCAGATTGGATTGGAAGAGATGACCCAATTACCATAAGTTTAATAATAATATTCCCAATTAACTCTGTTACCCAAAGTTGCTGCATGTGCTAGTACTTTCGAGGTGCTGCTGGTACAGGGTATTGCCTGCCATGTGTTGCACTGTTGGATCACCGGAAGATACTTCCGAATGACACTGGTTTTCCTGGCTAAAACTTGGTGATCAAATTCGAGTGTGCAGGGTGGGTTTCAGGGACACTCCAAAATGTGTGGCTTGGTGAAGTCCAAAATATATCTGGTAAATTGATGTTCATCCCCCCAAAATACAATATTATTATATTTATATATATTTATATAATATTATATTTTATTGTTATTATTTTTTGTATTATGATTATTATTATTGTTATGGATTTTAACTCATCCCCATGTGTTTTTGAGCCAGGAAATCCGTCGTACTCCAAGAACTCAACCGTCAAGCCAAGCGTCAAGTTGCCCTCACTGCTGCTACTGGGGTTGCGGTGCGCCGGAATCAGCATGCCCCATGTCTTGCAGTCTTCAGTCCTGGGTTTTAATGTTCAGCTACCTTCGTTTGATTGGCTGCATTTGGAGATGATGTCGAACATTATTCGTGATGAGAATATCACTGGAACCGTACAACGATGTATCTAGGAATCACATGGCTGTTCGCTCCAGAGGCGCTCCTGATTGGTGGAGAGACCACACATTCATGGGCTGGCTTGGGGCAGGCCGCAGAAAGACTGTTTTGAAGGGAGTTGCTGATTGATCTGTCAGTCCCTTTGTTTGTGGTACAAGTATTTGTTACATCTCTTGCAGTAACTCTTGAATGTTGCGTTTATCTTAACTGTCTATTACGTCTACTACATGATGTTCCAATATCTGTTATTATACAGCAAGTGGCTCAAGCTGCGTCTGAAATTCTCTAGTACCTATCCTGCTTTTTTTTTGATCTTCTCCAATTACGAAGTGAATTCAATCCAATCCCGTCGTATGAATGTATCGTTTGCTAGTTTGTTCATGCCCATGACCGCATTGAGCTTGCAGGTAATCGAACACGCCTTTTCTTGGTAATTGAATGTAATTGATGTAGTTGTTTCTTCCACCATTTTGAAACCGATCATTGGCACCCCAACTTGAGCCAAGCTAACTTCTTTGGCTCGCGCATTGGAGGCGAAGGGCACATCTGATGAATTGGTGGAACGGGTGAGAATGGTACCTTGATTTTGCGGATGACGAACTCAACTGACCGATCGACTTAGTGGACTTAGTGTCTCTGTAACCCTTTGCACATCAGCCATCATCAGCCTGGAATAGGTGTCGGGAACAGTGACAGAGCTATGATTACTTGCATTTGCCATTGTCGGACCATGACAGATTCATTTTTGTCGGGAGGGAGTGCCGGTGGGGGCTTTCAACTGTTCCAAGGATGCAGCTGCATGCAATCGTTGGCTTGCAGCAAGACTTCTGGTCATCGATGAGGTCGTTCAAAGCATGTGAGTTTCAATGGGTGTCTGAATGAAATCCCACGCTTTGGCGATTCCTGTGAGTGAATCTTGCCACTTTCTGCCTCATGTTTGATAGTTTGATAGGCTTATCATTTAATCTACAGGTCTGGGTGAACATTCACACTTTCTAAGCCCCCATGTTTGATTGTTAAACTGCCCAACCTGGGGTCCACAAATTGACAAATTAGACCCAGAGTCCTCTTATCAATGTTGAAGGTGCATTGACATGAATTTGTTCCAATACCAATGCGTCTTGATATGAAGACCGTTGCTGTATGAGTTTAAGACCATTCATATCCATCCATCAACATTCAGAAAGATCATGCAAATATGTTAAAATATAATCCATTCACATAAAATACAATCAACATCAATTAACATCAATCAACCAATGGTCAACCAATGGTCAACCAGTGCAGGTCTCCATGATTTCAGCCAAGCTGCTGGATGCCTTGGACCAGTGCGGCCGTGTGTGTCGCGGTTTGTCAATGCCCTTTGGAAATCTGCCGGTGTTGCTATGTGGGAAACCCAGCTGATCTCAGGTGGTTACCCTCCATCAGTATCCCTTGAAAAAATGGGAAATCCCCGAAAATGGGCGCGAATCATCTATATACTGCGGGATTTTCCATTGCAGAAGTTTGGTGAAAACCTCAGAACATGTAGGCAATAGAGGAAAAAATGGAAAAAAGGACAAGTTGTGTGCAAATTATATCCCCATTAAATCCCCATGATATTCCCACTAACATCCCCAATGAATCTGAAGCAGCTCTTTTAGGTGGTGATTTCCATCAACTTCCTCCAGTTTCTCTGGATGGTTGGGCCTTCCAAGCCAAGGCAGGAGAGCTCGGGTGAGCAGGTGTTATGTGTATATTATATATGTCATGACTGTATGGAACAAAACAGGTATGTATCTTGTTGTATGTATTTATATAATGGTCGTGTGTAATGCTGTGCGCTGTATTTATACTCGATACAGCATATTTATTATACTTATTATAAATATTTATATATCATGATATGTAGCAACATGTATCATGCAAAATCCACTAGTACCAGTACTTTATTGATAGAAATCCTGGAACTCCTCCGTCCCCGTCTCAGGTTTGGAAGGAGGCCATCAGTTTTTCCCTGGAGCTGACGGAGGTTCTTCGCAGTGATCCACAAGAGCGGCAGCTGGCGAAAGCCCTGCAGGAGGTGCTCGAGTTCCAGAATATACAATCATATTTAGATAGAGCATACATGATCATACAGCTAATTATATATATTAGAAAGCACTGTTTTCAGAACTGTGGTCTTAAGAAATTCCAAGTTGTTTCGATGTTGTATGACCAGCAGACAATGACTCACTCCGTGACTCCAGGTGAGATGTGGCCGCATCTCGGACGGATCGTGGCAGTTCCTGCAGTCTTTAGCGAAGAAGCCAAGGCAGATTGGATTGTTACTGAGCTTTTAATAGTTTGATTGTTACTGGCAGATTGGATTTAGTCCTAGCTTTCCTAATGTAGGCATGATTGTTCAATCCAAGCCGCAGATTTGAAGAGATGGCACCCTGTACTCACTTTGCCTTGCAGGCTTGTCAGCATTTTATTCAGGTATATTAAATTATTCACTTGGTGTTGCAGGCGTGTCAGCATTTGTAGCCAGCCATTGTCTTAAGTTGTTCTTGCTGTCCTCAGCGAATAGACTCAAATTGTCAGAGGGTCAGAATTTCAGGAGAACAACGCTGAATCTCCAAATCATCCCCAAACCAAGCTTGTTTTCTGACTTAGAACAATTGCGATTTTAGTCAACTTTGCACAACTTTGAAAAAAATTGAAAATACAAAGATGTTTGTTGGGGGCATTCTCAACAACTGAGTCGACCTTCACCTGACCAGGCAGAATGATCGGTGCCCCGTGGTGGTGGTGCCCACCAACCGGCAGGCCTGTGGCCATGGATTCATGGAACATGTTTGGACCATGGTGGGATTTGTTTAAAGGTAGCTGGGGAGCATGTCCGTATCTCCTGCAGCTTCAGGAGCGAGTGCTGAGATACATCCAGCATCCAGCATCGTTCACTCTTGCATCATCTTGCATCATGATGTTTGACGGGCACTTTTTCAGATTTCAATGATTAGACATCCATAAAATGCCATGCTTTATGGCTTGAAATTGTGGAGCCTTCACAGGCGGATGAGATCAATGTGGCAGCACTCCGAGCCGCCATGGAGACAAGTGGAGAGGCTGAAGCAGAGGATAGTCCTGACATGTCCTGACAAAACTTCTCTGCACGGCACTAATGTTATCACACTCTTGGACTTCTAAAGTCGTAAAGTTTGCTTTTGCTCATGTTCAGCACTAAGATGCACCAAGATGAGATGACGTGATGATCATGATGTACGCTTGATTGTTGCACTACGGTGTATATATATATATGGCAAAGCCTGTCAAGGTGGTTGGATGTTGGTTTGAAGCGAATCCGAATCACGTCCTCCTGATTGATTCTCCGGTTTCCACATGTTTCCACTGTTCAAATCTACGCCATTTTGCTTCCAGCGCTTCGGTGCAGATTCATCGCTATTCTGCACTACACGTAAGTGGTGCCAGAAAAAAGGAGGCGGGATCCCTTAGAAGGAGAGGTCCATGGTGGGACTTTGTCGCTCGCAGATGCTAAACTTTCAGGTGCCAACCTACCAAGAAAGAATTGTGACCAGCGATGAATCAGGGTTTGCGGTTGGAAGCTTTTGCTCTGGAATCCTTTGATGTCTTTAATCTTCTCATATCTTCTCCTTAGTACCTACACCAAGTGAGCAGTGTTCAAAACTCTGCTGGTTTGTGATTATAGGGGATTATACTACCAAATTATCCCAACCTAATATATTGTGAATTATAAATTGTATATACCATATATATATATATATATTGTATTATTATTGTAGATTACATAATCCTTTATCGGAATCCTTCCAGGTGCCAGAAGAGCTTTCACTCTGCAAGGGCGCTGTGGTGGTTCTGACGACCAGCATCAGGTCCCCGGCGGAAAATCATGGGAAAAATGGTGGAAAAACAGAGAAAATACCTTAACATACCATGTGCAAGGGTCTTTCCTCAACAGACATCAACACACAACGTCAGGAGACTAGTTGCAGCTCTAGCGGTGTACTCGATTCGACTTTATTTTGCATTCTTTTTATTTGCTCAATGAATTCATAGACGGTTGTTGCATATTTTTTTTGCTAAATCTCAGTGATCTTATTTCGACATGCGCGCTTGGGTCCGACGTCTCCTTGCAGGGTGGGACCACAAGGCGAGGTGAAATGGGCCAATGGCCTTCGTTCCTCGGCTGAAAGTGGCCTTTATCTCTTGGCTGCTGGACTGTGCAACCTGAGGTTGTTGCGTGTCTGGCTTCGTGGAGCTGTTCGGCTCCCGAGTCATCAGCCGCGACACCCCCCCAAATCTCAGACCTGCAGAATCCTGACTTTGTTCAAATTGTTCTGTTAAAATATTCTGAACTCAACTGGAAGATTTTGGAAGCAACCAACTGCCGTGAACCGTATCCACTCACTGCCCATTGGACATGCATTGAGCGCTCATGAGAGCGCAGCTGTGGCAGTCACCTGAGGCCACGCAAAGTTTGGATGCTCAGAAGGGCTGCCATATGCGGGTCATGTCAGTGACATCAGGAGGTCCAAAGGTTGTTGGACCATGGGATTTTCTGACGATCGAAAATTCTCTGATCAAAATTGATCAACCCATCCAGCGGGTATCTGATCCGAACACCAACCAATGCCACTTCTCAGGTCTTCGACCATCGACATCCAGATTTTGAAGCTGTTCATGGCCACAGCCTTCGCCAATTTTTGCTGCGACATGGGGGCCTGTTGCCAAAATTGCAGGCCCGTTGTACCAGTAGCAGATGCTCCCCGAGTTGTAGATTGTAGATTTGATACTGGTGTCACTGGTGTCCATGTTTACTTCCGATATCTTCCGCTGGATCTTGAGTGAGGTGCCGAAGTTGACACTCAGAGATTGCTTGTGTTGCTATTGTTCTGTGGACATGTTTTGATCATTGCTCAGATTTTCATGGATCCGCCAGATCTGCGAATATTGCTGATGGGAATTGAATTCGATTTAGATATTTCAATGGATTGGTCTAAGGGAAAATCTACAGGAAACCATGGTTTTTACCATCAAATATAGGGTTTTCCTGTAACATTTCCCATCATCCAATTCTATTGGATTCTTGATGTCAAGGTCCTTTTCCACCAGCGTAGGCTTTAGAAGACCCAAGCTCTGAGTACGTCCTACACCCGGCTCCTTGGCCCTGAATGGCAATCAATGTATATGTGGATGGGTCAAAACCCTGGTACCTAGTGAACCCCAAAATAGCTGGGAAATGGATGTTCATCCCACTAAAATGTATCTATAGGTATTGACCCATACCCATATAATCCGCACAGTACGGTGCTAGTTGGCATGCTCCGAACTATTTCTAGGTTTGACTTTTGAAAGCAAGTCAAAACTAAATTGAAAAGCGGCGCTGTTTTGAATCATGTGAACTACGTACCTTTACAGGAGTTGTTTAAAACCAAAGATTTTTTGCGCTACAACAGAATCAGGTTCACTTCTCAGAGAGAAACTCTGGTGAAGGCACACTGGGAATCCGCACCATGCAGTGTGCAGTCCGCTTTCCAGTGAAGCCAAGAGGTTTTCAGAGGTGATGTTTCTTATGTTGAATACTGTACCCAAGGCTTCAAGGATACGGACTTGACACAGAAGATCTCGGCAGCCTACTATTGAAGAGTCATAGTTCTAAAGCCAATGACAACAGAATCAGTATTCAGCAGTTCTGTTTCAAGTTCACAGTTGCCAAGGCCTTGCATTCTTTTGGGAGCATTTGAAGATTCTGAAATTCATCATCACACCACTTGTCCCGCTTCTTTATTCAATTTTATTCATTCATTTGATTTTGCAAACACCAGAGACTGCGTGAATTGAGCCGGTGTTTTGAAGTCTATATATTTCAAAATATGTTGCAAGCAATTATGCATATCAGTGGATGTAAAACACTTCACATATTGAACCAGCAACAAGAGACAGCTTCGATAATCTCCAGACAGTCTTAGCATGTCTTAGCTGATTGTCCAATGACCTCGCAGAATTCACAATATACAGCAGAGGGATGCAAAGAGTAGCACAGTCTCTATTTTCTGTGAGTATTTCATTCCTTCAGGTGCATACAAGGCTTGTGATAATATACGTATTTAATAATTACTAATATAGCAACGACAGTTCTTATTGTCATTATATCGTTGCATACAGTACTATATTGTGTGCCCTCTGTCTAGACTGAAATTTGGTACCTCTTGTTGTGGAGACCGTTTGCTACTAGCACAAGCAGGAAGCAGCAGCAGCTGCTGCTGCTGCAGCAGCAGCAATGACGAATAATCACCACCTAACAACCTGGTGTACCTGGATTTTTGCTTCATAAGGCTCGCTAATTGCACAAGTCTCTCTTGTGAGAACGATCGATCCTGTCTCCGAATCAGCTGACCAGGTCCTGGTGTGGTGCAGTTGCCTATTCGACTAGGCACGATAACGATGACCTTTGCAGCTCTGTTTTGCCTTTCTGTATAGCACAAACGATGACCCCGAGCTTGCAAATTGTTTCCAGGACATGAAATTGCAACCTTTCCTTGATTTGGCTCTGGCCGATGTCAACGTTTGTGTACTTTGATATTACGCAGTCCGAAAATCACAATTCACAGATTCTTGGGTTGGTCAACATGTCTGTGTTCTGTCCACACTTTCCGAAGTCTGGTTCAACATTGCCCAGTCTATCAATTTCCTGGTCTATGGACCCCAACATGCTTCTCCACAACACCATCCACGACCCCTTGGCAGTTTGCACATCGTGCAGGGTGGGCAGTGACAGCACATCGCGCTCAGGGTGCTTCCATGGAGGGAGGAGCTGTTGCAGTCTTGCAGGGCCTCTTTTCACCAGGGCAGGCTCCAATCTGATGCGCGTCCCAGTGGTGCAACAGCGACAATAACATACAATAACCACATGTCAGGTGTCTTTTTCTGGAATGATCACAACAGACACTTTGGCTTGGGAGGCGTATGTGGCATTGTCTCGCTGTCGTCGAGCCAAGGATCTTTGGATTGAAGGTGCCTACTACGTATTGTTGCGTATTGTCACGTATTGTTCCGGGCGAATGGCAAAATGGGCCACAAACTCCTGAGCCAGGGCTGCCGCATCGTGATGCAGATGGATGGGTAGCGGCCTTTGCACCCGAGGAGGAGGCCCCAATTTGGGCTGGGTTGCTGTAGTGGTTAGTAGATATATGTAGATATTATAGTCGTGGATAGTACTGGGGTTAGAACTATTAGAAGTACTTGGGTAATAAAATATCGATATATTGATCAATATTGTATAATATAATATTAAATAAATGTACGAATACTGACCTGGTTTTCTGGGGATCACATTAGAGGAGCCAATAATATGGCTTGGGGATGGCTCAAAACCTATGATTTTCCAACGCAACTGGGGGATGAACATACGTGAAGACGAGCTAATTTGATGGAGGGTTTTGGTCCAACATTTTAGTCACAATTTTCATCATATCCACATATACAAAGCACGACAGAGCGCGGCTTTTTGCTGCCAAGCAGTGTGACTTTCTTCCAGTGACAGTAGAGCAATGTCTTCAAGGTAGGTCCTAAATCGGGCAATGAAGCCTTGAATTGTCGACGGATCATAACAGATCAGCGTTTCTGTAGTGTCGCTGATTCTTGGATTGTACAATGCTTGAATAGAGGGGAGAAGGAGCAAAAGGTCTGCAACTCGGGTGTTCTGAAACCTCACCCGGGCGGACGGGTTGGGCCGTCCGCTGCCTTGCAAGGTTCAAGCCTTCTATCAAACCATGCGTGGCTTCTGATGAGCAAAGGACGGATTTGAATGGCATACTTAAGATTGACAGCTTTGAATTGAGAGAAGATCAAATGTGGAAGCACAAGTTTGCAGACATGCAGACCACAGGACTTTTTGGTGATGCTGGGGAAACCATTGCAATTGGGGAAATGCATTGGTATGGTCCTGGTGCCGCCCTCAGATTTTGTGCCCAGCTTGCACTTCAGTCCGCCAACTGAGAAACAAAGCCAACGCAGAGAGAAGCCATTCAGTCTTGCTTTCGCTGCCGTTGTTTTTGACTAGCAAATGTCACCACCGAAACAGAAGACATCAGAAGACGCAAGCTCACACTGAGCAATGTGTCACTGTGTGGATCTTCGAACACAGTGGTGCTGAACAGGGGGAATGGGACCGCTGAGAGCCGGATGCATCCGCTGAGCCAACAGCCCTTGTGACCCAGCATTGGTGAAGCTGTTGGGATAATCCTGTGCGACTTATGGAGACACAACAGGTTGTGAATGGTTGTGATATTTTTAACACCTTACGCCTTACATCAATCCTTGTTGACATCGCCATTGGTGCTTGTATTGAAGATGTAATTATGTAATTACATTATTACAATTACATACTCTTTGAACTACTGGGCATTGGTGGAAAGGTGCCCTTTGGATCCCTTTGGTTGGTACCCTTCCAACATTGCGAAGTGACTCAAATGCCATTCACCTAATCGCAAAGAAATGAACCCTACGCTTGCAAACTGGGGCCCTCTTGTCATTCTGTTGCTGGCTTTGACATGGCTCCTCTGCGGAACGCGTAGTGATGCGTAGTGAGTATAGACAATGCGTTAGGTGCATGTGAGCAACTTGAGTTGAAGTACAGAACAAGGTGAAGAACATTGAGAAAAGGTCCGCAGACGCAGCAACGGAGGTGATCACATTTCGTGTCGGGTCTTATTCCTCAGATTTATGCGCAGGATGAAGTTGACCTTCGAAGTAGTAGGACATAGTAGGACAAGAGAGCGAGGGTCATGCAGTTCTGACGGACCCTATGGTGAATTTTCTGAGGCACTTGTCGTTAAAACAATTAAGTGTCACCCATTTTCATTGTGAAGATGCATTTTTCTCTTTGCATGCTTGACTGCTCATAGACAATCCCACAATATGATCGGCCCAATGGTGCAATAGCCACCAAATCCCCATGTGGGGACCATTCTGAGACCCTCAAATTTTAGTAGACAGGTTTTTCAATGACTTTTCAGTCGCTCAAAACCTGCATCTCGGAAGTTGCCGGCGTCAGGCCAGCCCAAGGTTTACGCAAGGACAATGAAAGTAGGGATACCGAAAACATCTGAAAACTGTACACGAAAACACACAGGGCAAAATTTCAAAACAGACCGTGATCGCACTAGAAAGGGTCACTGTTTGTGCAAGGCGTACGCTGGGCGCAACAGCAGTTTGGAGAGGAAGGAATTCAGAACAACCTCAATACAACCCTGATGTCAACCCATGTTTGGTCAGTTTTTTTTACTTTTTTAACGGTCACCGGGACACTTTGTCAGGCGTATGTGGCATTGTCTCGCTGTCCTCGAGCCACAGATCCTTGGAATTCAAGGTGCCTGTGACGCGTGAGCGGCTAGATGTTGTGCAGGGATGTGAGGTGTATTCGTTGCTCTATGTCAACCCTGTCTACTGGATTTCAGGTTTCCACATCTTCATTTAGCCTCGCATCCGCAAACATCTCTATGATTCTTCCATCGTGCCAGTCCTTTTTTGCAAATCCAAAATGGCCACAAACTCCTGAGCCCAGCATCGAAGAACCTACCTGACAGCATCCTTGAAAATCCCATGAATACTGCAATATACTGCATATTTTGCAACATTATAAGGGTTAAATATGGTTTAATCATGTTTCCATATATATTCCCATACAATTGGAATCAACTGGGTTGATATCTCCTTATCCATCCTTCTCGGAGCCGAGACATCACCTCCGCTGCTTGGCGGTTACTCGTAGAAACGCCAGGTCTACAGCTTGAGCTTTGGACCAGGAGCATTGAATGACCGGATGGGACCCCTACAGGCCAGATTCGGTGCGGCAAATCATGGGGTGTCATTGTGTCCTTTCCTGTAGCAGGGGCAAACGACAAACGACTCCTTCACGCTGAGATTTTGCCAGAGGCTACTGACATCAAATCAAGGTGTTTCATTTGTGTTGTTGAGTTCTGCAATGATTCAATCTTTTGACAGGAAGGGGCTCAGAAGGGGGACATGGTTTCCTCCAGTAGACTTCGAACAGTTTCAATTAAAGTGTGAACAGTGTGAGTTGCCTGGAACAGCTTCTGCCTGATGAAAGCCACTTCCTGCAGACAATTGGTTCGAAACCTCTATGACATTGGTCTCAAGGATTCAACAAGAATTTACCAAATTTTCCATTGCCAGACAAAGACTCATACACTCCACTTTGACATACATGCATTGCCACCGTGCACATAGGGACAGGCATACTTGAACCAAATTTTGACGCCATGATGCCCGGGATTTTCCTCGCTCTTCCAAAGCTCTGTCTGCTGGTTAGCTTGACAGCAGTGAATGGATTTGGATCGTGGTGTCAGGCAGGTATTGGAAGCTGTGTTGGGCAGCGCCACATGTTTCGAAAACGAGACATGTCTGGAGACATCAAAGGTGGAAAATTTGACGGAACCATTCGGTTTGCGGATTGGGACGGTGATGGTGACACCGATGTCCTTGTTGGAGATGGAGGCTCGATCTGGTTCCACGAACGACTTTCGGACGATGCTATCCGCAAACATGAGTTGGTGCAGCTTCATGCCAGAGAGGGGCAATTGCTGAGTCGCTTTGAAGTGGCTGACTGGGATGGTCACGAAGCTGTTCATATTATTGTACGGTATATATAAGTGACTTTTGCAGTCTTTTTTGCCATTCACATTTGATATCACTTGACAGTGATATCACTTGATTAGATTTGTACGATCACGCCCAAGTGGTGTTTCAGTCTCAATTATTTGATTGATCGTGCAGCAGCCTAGGTGACAAGAATTTGGACTTGTTGCTCTGCACCATGGTTGGAGATTTGCTGACGGTGAGCTTGCTGAATCAATCCTTCCTCTTCCCAATCAAAAACATCTCTGAGTTTCCTGAAGTGATTCTGGTGACCCATGGACCTTCGTGTGACATGTTGGCCAGAGATTTTGATGAGGACGGTGATGTGGATCTGATTCTTGGCCATGATAGATGGGAACCGGCATATTCAAGGTACTTTGAGCGTATTTCTTCTTCCAATGTGGTGGAGCGCATGGAGGATGAAAATCCATTAAACATGTTCAACGGCACAGTGCAACTGATTGATGATGTAGATGGTGATGGGCGTTTGGAAGTTGTTTCGGGTCGGAAAAGGGCAGCCGAAAATGTACTTGGACCACATAGTCTGACGAACGAACTTTACGTCTTCCAGCGTGCTGCTGATGGTAGCCTCGTGGAGACGCAAGAAAATCCATTGAGATCCTTTCCAAGTCCACAGGTTCCGGATTCTGATGGAGGTTGGATTCTACGTGAGGAAGTGCATGTGACTGACTGGAATTCAGATGGGCTGCCAGATGTCTTGCAGGTCTGGTTGGTATTTGGAGACTTTGGAGGATGGTTCCTGTCTAGTCACTATTCTCAGCATGTTCTGTTTTTAGACATGCGGCCCCATTCGCACGCCTACGACGACATTGAAGTAGGCTTCAGAGGCCAGGAAATTAGTGTAGACTGGGACGGGGATGGCTTCGAAGATCTCGTGGTTCTGCGTGAATCGATTGAGGGCCAGGTCGAGTTGAAGCACCTTCATTTATATTTATATGATAAATCAGGTGAGAAATTCCAAGAAGTGCCTGGTGTGTTTGAGAATGTGACAGAAAGCCTGCTTGGAGAAGGCTTGGCCACGGCTGCCATAGTGGGCGCTTCGTCCAAATCAGATCGCCATCAATTCAGCTCCTATCAAAGCGTTGCAGGCTGCTGTCCAACGCCTGCAAGGTTCTTGGACTCCCGAGGTGGGGTTCTCTTTTTTCAACGGCCGGTGGCTGACTAGCATGCCGGTAGGTTTCATTTCAAGGTGTCAACATTTGTTTCGCCAGCATTGGCGTACAACGAGGTTCACCGCTTGGGTGCAATCTGAACGCATTGATTCTCAGCTTGCCAGGGCACAAGGAATCCATGCGACTGAGGAACTCATTGACAAACTTAGGTCCTTTGCACGTTCTGCAAGTGGTGATCAGGTGGCTGTGCTCTGTGGGGGCATTACCACTGATGCTCATATTGAGGGCCTCCGAGAATTTTGTCCGGACTGTCACTGCGCTGTCTGTCCTTCTACTGAGCACGTTCTTTGGCAGTGTGAAACTTGGAAAGATCATAGGGTGTTTGACCAACCCACCGATCCCATGTGCGCTCGCATGGGCTGGAATCAAAATGGGGTGCACCCCTGTTTGGGCCAAATGGCCACGATCCGCGCAGTGGCTGCCGAGGCCCGGATGAAAAGATTGCGCCTTGGCAGGGCCCCCTGTGTGGGGGGCACCGTCCTGTAAGGACCCCTGAGCGCAGCTGTGCTGCGCTCCTTTTCTGGCCGCTACACCGCCTCCGGGTGCCAGTGTGCGGCTTCAGCTTCAACCACGGCTGCCATAGGCAAGAATGTCGCCTCCTCCATCGTGGTTCTTGCGGGGAGCATCGTGTTTGCTAGCACAAATGGCGACATCACATTTGCGACATCTTTGCAGGCCTCTCCCTGGCGCTTTGGCTATGGAAAGGCACGAATATCTATACGTACTGCTGGCTGGATCTTGGCTTTGTTGTGCACCTTGCCTACTGCTTCAGCACAGCCAGTTCGACATGTTTTGCACTCCAGTTGCGCTAGCAACACTGTTTGCGATGTGTTGCAGATGCACTTGAATTCAACTGAATTTACTGTCACTGACCTTTTTGCATGTTCAGCGACTCTAAACTGCGTGGGTACTACCCAGGCGAGCAATCTAGACTTTTCTCAGAGTCACGCGTACCATTATTTTTATGCATCATTCGATGAAATCAGAAGTGATCAGAAGTGGAACACGCACTTTTTGGTCCCATTAGCAGCCCTGCTTTTGTTTTGTGGCACCATTGGATGTTACGCAGCAACGCCGGGACAACGGAAAAGGAAGAAGAAAAAGAAAAAGCCCAAGAGGAAGAAAGGAAGCTGCCTGATTCCCACACTGAAGGGATCAGTTGGCAAACGTTGTTTTTTCCCTGCCAGGTTTTGCAAAAAACAGAGGGTCAAAGCAGCAAACACAAGAATTCGGCGCTTTGCACAGCGCTGTTGGAGCAAAAGACTGAAACCCAAATATGGCTGTTACAGAAAGAGACCTGTATACAATCATGCAGCAATTTGGACGAAACTCTCCGGTGGCCATGGAGGGGCTGGTTCTTTTGCAACAAGGAAAAGAAGAGAAAGAAAGGAGCAGCAGGTCAATCTGGCCGACATGCTGCAACAAACCTTAAACCAATGGATGCAAACACAGAGGGCACCCAAAAGACAGAAGGGTCCCGATGACACCATGCACCAAAATGCTTCTTTACTTTCTTTGCTTGAAAGTACTCTAGCAGATTGCCGTGCCCGTTGCGATGATGACATGGAAGTTGCACAAGCGGTGCAACAAGCCCTCAATGGTCATCAGAAACAGCAGCAAACGTTCTATCCAAGCAGCGCTCCTCCAAAGTCTTCCAAAGCTGACTCAGCTTGGTGGAACCAGACTGGGAATTACACTGAGAAAAGAAAGCCATGGAGTTACGCCAGCAATGAGTGGTGGTGGGAGGAAGCAGAAGCAGATGTCTCAGCCCACCAACAATGGCAAAATGACTATGTCTATCACCGTGACTGGTATCAGCAGACAGCCACACAATCGAAAGTCTATCCAAGTATCACAGAACTGAGAATTTCCGAGTGGACCATGAAACCTGTTCTGATCCATTTGCAGACGCTCAAACAAAATCTCACGACTGGTGACACGATCGTGGGAAACATTATGCATATCAACACCAAGGCACAGCTGGAAGAGTTGCAGAGCTTGATAGATGCTCATGCATTAAATGGCAGTATGACTCTGATCCTCACTGATGAGGCCAAAGACACACCTGGTGCTTATCACACGCGTGTAACGGCCAAAAAGAAGAACCAAGTTAGCCGCCAACTTGATGTTTCGCTGATGGACGCAATCACAGGTTCCCGGGGACCATGGACGTTGCCTCCAGTTGAAATCATACAAACACAAGTCACAGCCATAAAGAGGGTTGCAGTGCGGCTGACAGCTGCTTCGCACTTCCGTGCCTACCTTCACAGCAGTGGCTACAAGGACACTCCAAACTCCGTGCTAGCAAGCGTTGCTAGCTTGCACCCTGACATCAAGGTCAGTCAGATATCTGGTGGAAAGTGGTGGTCTGAGACCATTCAGAGCAAAGTATTCTTGAACACAGTAATCCAGCTTCCCGTTGCTACTGCTGACCAGCTAGTGGCCCGAAGCGGAGAAGAAGGCGTCTTCGCATGCAAGCTTGGCGTGCAACATAATGACCAAAAAATCTTTTGGTTCCCCAGAGAAGGAAAGGAAAGTGATGAAGCATACCACCGTCGCCTTTTCACCATTGCGCAGTCGCGCAAAGAGGGGTTAAAGCTCAGGAAAGGTGGATCCAATGACTTGGGCCTCTTTGCATCGCCGCAAGACACAGCGGCCTTTGCCAGCAACTTCAGCCACTGGTGTGCCACTGGCTTTCCGCATGACTGGCAGCAGGAAGAGGTTCTTCAGTTTCTTCAGGAGCAAAACTGGGAAGAACCATGTATATTAAGTAGACAAAGCCAACGGAAAAGCAGACAAACTAGTTGGTGGATCAAAGCAAAGTCCCCCCAATCGGGATTGCCTTCGCAGACAGCTTGGGAATACCGAATTCCACCATCCACTAGAATATATATCCACAAAGCACCTCAAAAGGCACAGGCTTGTAAAGCTCAAGCTGTGCCAGGCCCTCGCAAACAATGGCGAGATGACCAGCCCGTGCCAGGGCCTCCAAGAACATTACGCGCACAAACACGCGCTGATGATGCCCCAGCGCGAAAGCGTAGTCTTAGCCCTGCAGCATCGGACATGATTGATGCAACCCAAATTGATCCAGCCACTCCGGAAGTGCCATCCCCGCCAAAAGCAGTGTCTGAATTGGAAGCCTTACTTCACGCAGGGTGGAAGAGACATGAGTGCGGGGGCGAAGGAGACTGTGGATACTTAGTTGTTTCGCAAGGGCTGGAACTCAATAAAAATGGGCAGTTTCTGGATGCCGAAACTGCGCAACGAAACGCATCCAATCTTCGTGCAAGTGTGTTTCAACATATTCGCAAACCTCAACACTTGGCTCGATACAGTCAGTTCTTTGCAAGCGATCCTGCCTCAGGAGAAAAAATTGATTCATTTGAAGCATGGATTCAAGCCACCTCCAAGAAAGGTGCTTGGATTGATGGTATGCAGATTCAGGCAATTTGTGAAAAGACAGGAACTGTTCTGATCCTGTGGAGTTGTGATGTCCAGAAGGATGGCACGGAAGTCTGGCAACGTTACACCCATGCTCCACGATTTTCAAAGGGTATCGCATGCCAAGCCAAAGGTTGCCAACCAATCGCAGTGACGCTCCAAAGCGGGCATTACCAGTTGCTAATCCCACCAACTGGCACCAAATTTCCAGAAAGGTGGTTGCGTGAGACTGATATCCCGCCTTCTCAGAAACTAGCCGGTGCTGGCACGAACACTCCAGGGTCCACAAACCCTCGCAACAAAAAGGCAGATTCTGATGTCAAGCCAGCTTCTTTTGCGGAATCAGTGCCAAGCACCCCATCGGTACATACGTGTTTTTTCAGCCCAGATGGATCGCATAGTAAAAAAGCTAGCAGCAAAAATGTGCCAATCAAAGTTGCTCAGCAAGCCAAATCTTTCCAGCCTGACACTCCCTCGGTTCACACTGTGACCTTCAGCCCTGAAAGATCACCAAGTGAATCAGCCACAGGATCTAAAGCGAGTAAAAAACGTAGTCACACTTTTGTGCCCAGTATGTTGGACCTTTCCACCAAGAAGAGGAAAACCAATCCAGTGGTTTCCGCAACCGAGACGTGTGGTATTACTAAACGTGAGCCTTTTGTTCAGCTGCCCGACCTTATCTCTGTTTGGTGGACTTGCACGTGCGGTTTTCAGGTCTTGAAGCACAAAGACCTCACGTGTCATGGGCCGCGTCGCAAAAAACACTTAAATCAGGTTCACGGAATCCAATATTCTGACATGCCGCCTGACCCTCCGGGTGCTCCTGGTGAGGGAGTCCAAACCAAGCGGGAAGAAAGGTCCAAGCGGTGCCAAGCTTGGTTGCTGTTGGCAAAGAAGCGCGGGTGGGCAGGCATGCATGAGCTCACACCTGTCAACATAGGCTGGCGCCGATGGAAGTGTCAAGCCTGCGATGAATCCTTCACCCATTGGAATCGGGGCGTGCAAACATTGTGTTCTGCCAGCAATGCCGCTGGTGGCTCCAAGTTGCCCAGCATTGCCAAACGATTGCAACTCGCCAATCAGTGGTGGGCTCAAACTCTGGAATCGATTGCAAAGGAGAGAGCGGAGAGCCAAGACCTTTTGAATCACTCCTCCTTTTTGAACAACCAAAAAAGACTTAGCATGGTAAATAGTTTATCATCCCCTCCCAAATTGTTTGGGGGCATTCCACTAATGCCATCCGAAGCTGATGGCGGTCACACAAAATTTTGGTGGTCGTGTTCACTGTGCGATTTCAAAATTTCCCTAGCTGAGCCATCTTCGGGCCGCTCGTACAAACGCAAAAACCACTTGCAAAAAGTACATGCCTGGCGTAAGGTCCCCCCAATCCCTAGGCAGGGTTTTGCTGTCCAAGCGGTCCAAACTTCTCAGTCCGTGGTCAAACAACGTTGGGAACACAGGGTTGCTGAATTCCAAAAAAGAGCTTGGGCCGGTGCACATGACATAGGAAGTAAGGCAGTTTGCGTCACTCTTTACACATGCAAATCGGGTAAAGTGTTACAGTACCCCCGATACCAGTGCAAGCGGTGCTGCCGAATGGTTACGGCAGGTGATTTGCCCATCTCTATTTGTTCCTCCCATCCTCGCTGCAGCAAGGCACCTAGTCTAAAGCGCAGAAAGCAAATTTGGCAGACATGTCTTAAGGTTGCTGCGAGACTTAGCAAAGTCGCTGATGGTGTTCGTGCAACACGTCGAGGGCACCGAGCCCAACGGATAGGTGAAGCTTCACACCCAGGTCCTTGTCCCGTCGTCAAGATGTGGAGCCAAAACATTCGTTCCTGGCACACCAATGGTATGGCCTGCTTGGATAGGGCTCAGACTGCAGGTATTTCGCTGGTGGCCCTACAAGAAATGAACATCACGTCAACCAATGCGCCGGCAGTCGTCAATGCATGTCTAAGGCACGGTTGGCAAATGCTGCAAGTCCCTTCTCCCCAAGGTACTTCCAACCGAGGGGGCGTCGCTATCTGCTGCCGTGAGCCACTTGGGTTAGTTCTTCTCGATACTTGGAGCGATCCTCAGGGCCAGTTTGTGCTGGCCGAAGTACACGGAGGAAATAAATCCTTTAAACTCTGCAGTTATTATCGCCATGCTGATGATGAAGATTTCCAAGGTCTTACCCGTATTAGCCAGACTCTGTCTAGTGACATGGACCAAGCTTGGATCGTAGCTATGGATGCCAATACGAATCAAATGGCTGGTACTTGCGCCACTCTGATGAACGAAATCAAAGGTTGCTGCCGGGCTCATGCTGGTCACAATTCCAGTAGGTTTCCAATCGACGGTATTTGGTCCTCGCTGGATCTTCGCCCGACTGCTGCCTTTTCGTGGCAGCCAGGGGACGGAGATCACTCTTTAGCTGAAGTCCATTGGGAAGTCCAAACGCAAAAGCCTGGACGCCAACAGTTCAGGTTTGCTCACACCAGGAAAATGGCTGAACAGAATTTTCCTTCTCAGCAGGAAGCTTGGGCTCTCAGCTGTACATCAGACGAGAGATGGACAGAGGTGCTCAGCAATGTGGACCAGGCTTGGCTAGTTTGGTGTCAAGATATAGAAACGTGGCTGACCGCAATGGTATTTTAGACCAAGGTCGACCTGAACGGCCACTGGGCTCAGCGCCCAGGGTTCAAACCAGCACTCATGCTATGGGCCCTTTGCAGCCCCTTGCTGAGCGGAAGCTCCGTCGCTGGATTCGGCGTTTGCAAGAAGCTCGGAAGTTCAGTCACCTCGGGTACCAACTCAACCCGGGTTTGCAGAAAAAACTTGAATCCACCAGGGATGTGCCTGCTCCTGAAAAGCAGGCGGTCCGTCAAGCAGCTTTCGGTCTGGCAGAACGTTTAGCTCACGGCAGGCTCCAGGCTCTTCTTCAAAATAAATCTAGCCAAAAGTTAAACAAATGGAAAACTCAGGTCACAGACCACAGCGGCGCTTGCAAATGGGTTAAATTGACTGAGGTTGGATCTCCGGTTTTGCAAGATGAATCCGGTCAGATCCTCACTTCCAGACCAAGAGCTCTCGCTGCACTCCATACTTTTTGGTCTCGCACTTTTGGGGACTCTGCTTTGGACTCATGGGATCAGTTTTCTGAAGTTTTTCAAGAACATTTTCCCATGCCGGCCCAAACTGAAGCATTGCCTCCTATCACAGGCAAAGACATTATTCGCGTAGCCAGGAAAATGAAAGACAAAGCAGGAGGGCCGGATGGGATCACACCCCGTCACCTCACGTGTTTGCCACAACTGGCGATTGACAGGTTCGCCCAGATCCTTCAGACATGTGAAAACATTGGCCGTTGGCCCACGCAGGTGCGTCACTGGAAAATTTGCTTCCTGCCTAAGGCTACCACTCGAAAGGGAGTAGTCGCAGGTTTAGGGGATGTTCGTCCAATCAGTGTAGGCCCCACTGCCTACCGCATTTGGGCAGCCATCAGACTTCAGCACTGCAAATCTTTTGTGGAGGGTCTTCCGTGTCAAGATCAGGCTGGGCGCAATGGGTTAGCAGCGCAGGATTTGTTACTCACCATGGAAAACAAGTACCAAGCTCAGGATTGGCCATATGCCATGGCATTAGACCTGCAGAAAGCTTTCGATACCACCGACTGGACCGTGTGTCTTAAACTCCTCAAACATGCAGGTCTTCAGGCACCTATCCTTAAACTCCTGCAGGACCAATGGGACCACCACGAAAGGTGGCTCAGCTATCGCGGGGCAATTGATCCCGCCCCGCTCAAAAACACAGCCGGTCTCCCCCAAGGAGACCCATGGTCTCCAATTGCCATGAGCGCTCTAATGGCCGTTGCCAGTCGTTTCGTCCTCAGCCAGGAACCAAACGCCAGGTCCTTAATATATTTGGACGACAGGACATTAGTCGCCACAAGCCGACAGGCCTTGAACCAAGCGCTTCAGGCTTGGGAAGTTCTGTTCCAAAACACTCGTCTTCGCAATAATGCATCTAAACAACAATTCTTGCCACGAACCTTGGATGCTCGGGTCGAATGCCTGCAGCTTGGCATTCCCTTTCAAAATACGGCCAAAATTTTGGGTGTTTGTATGGGTTTAATTCCCCGTAGTAGGACTGAGGAGGAACAGAAACGTTCTGATAAAGTGGCACAGGTCGCTCGTCGAATAGCGCTCCTGCCCACAGCTAAGGCTTTCAGGAACTCGGTTGCAGTCAGCGTCTTGGCGCCCACTGCCTCCTGGGGAGCTCTTTTCAATGGTCGGTGTCCGACAAAACAGGAATGCCAGGCCTATGCTCAGACCTGGCGATGTGCAGTTCAAGGTTTTGATCATCCAGGGGGCCACGACTCTCGTGACCTCACAGCTGTAATGGCTATGGGCCACTGTTCTGACCTTTTGTTTCTAAGTACCCAACGGTTTATGACGGCTCTTCATAAGTGGGCGCTTCGTCCAAATCAGATCGCCATCAATTCAGCTCCTATCAAAGCGTTGCAGGCTGCTGTCCAACGCCTGCAAGGTTCTTGGACTCCCGAGGTGGGGTTCTCTTTTTTCAACGGCCGGTGGCTGACTAGCATGCCGGTAGGTTTCATTTCAAGGTGTCAACATTTGTTTCGCCAGCATTGGCGTACAACGAGGTTCACCGCTTGGGTGCAATCTGAACGCATTGATTCTCAGCTTGCCAGGGCACAAGGAATCCATGCGACTGAGGAACTCATTGACAAACTTAGGTCCTTTGCACGTTCTGCAAGTGGTGATCAGGTGGCTGTGCTCTGTGGGGGCATTACCACTGATGCTCATATTGAGGGCCTCCGAGAATTTTGTCCGGACTGTCACTGCGTTGTCTGTCCTTCTACTGAGCACGTTCTTTGGCAGTGTGAAACTTGGAAAGATCATAGGGTGTTTGACCAACCCACCGATCCCATGTGCGCTCGCATGGGCTGGAATCAAAATGGGGTGCACCCCTGTTTGGGCCAAATGGCCACGATCCGCGCAGTGGCTGCCGAGGCCCGGATGAAAAGATTGCGCCTTGGCAGGGCCCCCTGTGTGGGGGGCACCGTCCTGTAAGGACCCCTGAGCGCAGCTGTGCTGCGCTCCTTTTCTGGCCGCTACACCGCCTCCGGGTGCCAGTGTGCGGCTTCAGCTTCAACACGGCTGCCATAGTAGACTGGGACAGAGACGGTGATTTGGACCTCATCATCTTATCTGAATCAGATCGCAAGGTGCACTACCATGAGATGGTTTCTGGGAACCTTCAAAAAGAAGAGCCGCAGCATCCGTTCAAAAACATCACCATCCCACCAGAGGTCCTTGAAAGATTTGATTTCTCATTCTTTGGATTTTTCCATCCCATTGCGGTGGACTGGGATAACGACGGCGATATGGACTTGTTTTTGGGATCTCCAGATGGGCGTTATTTTGAGCAGGTGGCAGACGGCATTCTACGCGAGTGGCCACGCGAGCAAAGCCCAGTTGGCAACTTGACAGAAGTCTTGACCGGTAATTTTCGGACCAAGTGGGCGTTCGTAGACTGCGATGCAGATGGTGACTATGACCTGTTGAAAATGTATTCACAACCAATGGTTGCTTCAGACCAGGCCGTCCGGGCTTGTGAACAGGATGGCACACACATCCTACGTTGTGACAGCGCTTTTCTATGTTTAGGAACAAACCTTAGCAAATTCGGCTTGTCAGGGAGTGCTGGATTCAGATTTCAGTTGAGCAACGTGGCTGATGGCCGACTCAGATTCATTACTTACAATGCTAGAAAGAACAAGGCAGAGCTGTGGAGTGCAGGCTCTTGTGTTCCAGCTGACCCATGCCACTCGAAGGGCTTGTGTTTGCCCAGGCAAGCGCATTGCACTTGCATTGCAGGCCATGAGCTGGCTGACTGTTCGGGCTGCGAAGCAAGTTATTTCAGCGTGCAAGGAAAGGTGGGGCAGATGCATGACTGCAAAGCATGTCCAGGTGACGATGGCAAGGTTTGCTACGGTCGCGGAAGCTGCTTTGATGATGTGGCAGGGAAGGCGCTTGCTCGGGAATCTACGGCTCGCCTCATTGCAAAAGGCAATGGCTCATGCAGCTGCAATGATGTCCACTTCTATGGAAGCGACGATGAAGGTCGAAGCACCTGCATGGATGGAGTTTGCCCAGCTGGTACCGAAGAGAATGATGGAAGTTGCACTCCTTGCGCTGCTGGGACCTTCTCGGCAGAAGGTGGCTCTTGCAGGATTTGCTTTCCAGGAACATTTTCCCACACAAGAGGCAGCAAGTGTTTGACTTGCGCCCCTGGAACCGTGTCAACAGAATCAGGTGCTTCGGCCTGTGACGCGTGTCCTGCAGGTACATATGAGGTTGACCATCAGTTGTGCAGTGAGTGCCCGGCTGGCTTAGTTTCTTCGAGGGGCAGTAGCTCATGCACAAAATGCCAAGCTGGATCGCAAGCAGCAAAGCCAGGCAGCATCACATGCCAATCGTGCGCAGCAGGCACCTACGCAGGGGAGGCCAGCACAGAATGCAGCCCGTGTCCTTCAGGGACCATTTCAAATCAAGCCAGTGGAAGCTGTAGCCCATGCGATGCTGGCCGTTTTGCCAAAGCATCTCTTACATGTGAGTCCTGTCCGGGGGGCACCTTTTCCATTGCTGGAAGCAGCAAGTGCCAGAGCTGCGTCACAGGAAAGTTCTCCTTGACGGGAAGTAGCAACTGTTCTGATTGCCTTCCGGGAACAGTCTCTTCCCCAGGCTCTTGGGCCTGCGATGTCTGTCCTGGTGGGACCTTTGCTGCTGCAGGAAGTGGTGTGTGTGACGCCTGTCCTGTGGGCCAAGTATCGGGCCCGAAGAGTGCTGCCTGCAAGAGCTGTGAAAGCATCTTCATCCGCTCGACTCCTGATGATGCGAAACAGAGCTGCCAAGTTCTTGCGATGGATGTCGTTTTTGCCGTGATCTTCTGGAGTGCATGCTCTTGCTTGTGTTTTCTGCTTTTGGTTGGTGTCTCAGGACGCATCCCCATCTCAGATGTGTCTGCACAAGGTAAAAAAGTTGTGGTGACGACTTCCATGGCCCACTTTCTCCGGAAAAGGGCATGCCCGAAGGTGACTTTCGCAGGAACCGGCGTACCTGACTTGGAGGCATCTGGGAAGAGCTGGACAATCAAAGCCTTGACTTTGTACCAATTGACTCTGCACGGCGATGAGAGCACCATGCCACTGGACACGTCAACAGGACATTTGTACCTGAAGTTCCCACAGACTTTCTTGTCCACAGGTATGTGGCACTGTCCTCTCATTTGGTGGTGCTTATTCTTTCTTGCAGCCAGTGCAGGGGCTGCAAGCAAGCTCACTTGGCCACTAACTTTGCTGCTCTGTGGTCTGGGTCTTTGTGCGGGCTCCGTGGCTTTTGCAATGCGGCGCAGGTGGGGATACCAGAACTGGCAAGCTTGTTGCTAATGCCGCTTCGCGACGAAGACCGCCCTTGTTTTGTCAGTGTCAAAAGAACAAACATAGTTCGCAAATTTCAGGCCAATGTTGTCCTAAATCGATGTTCCTTGTGGGTCTTGCGGGCCATGGCTGGCATATGGCCCACATTGGACCAAAAATAATCACAACTTCAGCATGGACCCAGGAGGTTTCCTCTATGAAATCCCAAGCGTTATGGCTGTACTATGGCGGATAATGTCGGAAGTTGAGATTTTGTGGGGGAGCCGTGTGGCATCACCATAAAAAACGGATCTAAGATGACCTCAGTCCAGTTTTGATCAGGTTTGCATGTTTTAGGTTTCTAATGATCTAATGGGTATCTTTTTGACAGCGCTTAGGCTTGAAACATTTTGAAACACTTTCGAAGAAGACAGCCTATTCACAGTGGCTCCACATGGCCCCGTTGCAAAAGAACACACTTCTGACCCAGACACAGGCACCCCATACAAAATGCAAATCTCGAATAGCGAGGACATCCTGTTCTACTTAAATGGCGACCACCAGCCCTATAAGTCCTTATAATCTATAGGTGATTTTTGCAGAATTTAGGGGCCAGTCACACCTGTACTTGCAATGGGATATGGCTATGGCCTTGGAATATGTGCACGAAAGGAAACTATGCATCAACATCATACATATTATACAACAACTTTGGATGCCCAGTGGTCGGTTGGATGAGTGGCTACTATGCCACAACACGCACTGCAATGCATGTTTGTTCCAGACGTGATAAACGCCGATGTTGCTTTACTTAAGCCCGTTTTAAAAAAGAATGAGGGCCACATCCCGCTCTTGCAAAAGGTTGTAGTCGACTATATTGGATTTGTTGAGCATTGGCCCCCCTCTTCAAGACTTTGGAAGAAATGTGTTTACACAAAAACTCTGGCTTGCAAATCACAATGTTTCACCGCCAGAAAATTTCAAAATACCAACACACATGGAGACTTTCGGCCTCTTTTTGTTTTGTGAGCCTTCTGTAGCAGCAACTTTTAGTTCCGATGTGTTTGAGTTGGCTTCTGCATGGTAAGGCCTTGCTCACATGTGTCAGTCGAAAAAGTGTCAGTTAAAAAAATATGCAGTTTTAGGGTAAGCTGACAGAGCTTCTGACGATTTGGACTGATTCACTTGACACTTAGAATGATGCTTCGCAGTTTTAAGGCGGGCGGCGGACTTTGAGAATAGACTCTGAAACACTCCGAACAACCCCCTTGAGTTGCCCCTGCAGGCAAAGTGAAGCAACGCCATTGGTGAAAAGGCGGCGGCAATTCCTCAAGGAGTGGCCTCTGGCCCTTGAACGATGTAGCCGCGGACCTGATCGCTCTATCACAGCTGGGAAACTTCACGATTTCCTGCAGAGTCTTAACTGCAGCAAGAGATGCATCTAGTCAGAATACTGTAGATGTCAAAGGGCATGCCACAATGGTTGTAAGAAAGACCTAGCGCAATTCAAGACATTAAAGAGAGAGCAGTTCATCCGAAGATCGGTGTGGTGACTGCGTTGGAAAACCGTTCGCCTGTTAGAAGGCCCAAATCTCATCGAATCTCGTGGACTCAAGACTCACCGACATATACCGACATGAGCCTGAACTCACCATCAGCCCCAAAATACACAACTCATCAGTGATAATAGTTGTAGGATGTTGTAGGATGTTGTAGGATGTTGTAGGATGTTTTAGGATAGCGGGTATATAACGCCATCTGTTTGTTTCCAGGGGCTGAGTCTGCTGAGTAGACGTGAATCTGATAGTATCTGAAATCGAGGTTCTTCGAGACCTTCATCAAGGAGCGCTCCATGTACTACGTTTGTTCCAACATCGTGAAGCCGCTGACCGAGCCCTTTCAGCTTTCATTCGTGGAATTGGTGGGTCCGACGAGTATCCAGTGGTTTGTTAGTCACTACTGGGGCATGCCAGTTCGTCATTTCAGCGATGCCATCCGCAAACATGCCCAGTGCTTGGACGGAGATTGGGAAGATTCATCATATTGGATCTGTACCTTTAGCAACAGCCAATGGCACGTGAAGGAAGAACTTGGGCTTGGACAATGGCAAAACTCATCTTTCTACTTGGCTCTTAGATCTCCAGAGTGCCAAGGCACCACAATGATCATTGATGAGTCGGTCTTTCCCCTGCAGAGGATTTGGTGCTTGTTCGAGGTCTACCAAACCATTTCCTTGTCACGGAGTGAACATTTTCATGGACTGCTCCTTTGTACATCCACTGGTGTGTTGCAGCAGGGCAACGCTGGTACTGATGTCGCTGTGGCGGTCGCCAAAACAGTTGCAGAACTGGATACCCGCAGTGCCAAAGCAACTGACGAAGAAGATCGGCTGATGATTCATTCACTCATTGAGAATATGCCAGGAGGCTTTGATACGATGAACAGCTTCGTGCGGGATACGATTTGCAGTGCTTTGGAGGCTTCCCATCTTCACTACGAGAGCACTTTCAAGACCTTGGTGAAGAATTTGACTTCAAGAGACTCCTCATCTCGATCCACCCAATCTCCCAGATCTGCCCCTTTGCCGACACTTCTCACCAGCGCAGTGCAGGAGCCAGAGACTAAGGTGGACACCAACTAGCCCGGCCCTTGTTGATCTCAATGTTGAGCTCAAATGTCATGCAATGAGAAATTTTTCGAAGCATAGATAATTAGATCAATTAGATATCCATAGGACTTTGCCTAGCCACTGTGCTTCCAATCCTTTTTGGTGCAAGCTAATGCAGGCCTGCGCTTCCAATCCTGTTTTAATGCAAGCAACTTGTACAGCAAATTTGATTTTCTTTCGACCAGGTCCCAGATCCTGTGCATTTCGTGCTGCCTGCAGGAAAATCGTTCTTGCAAGTCTGAGGCTGCACAAGGCTGCCTGCAGCCAAACACATCAAACACCCGCTTGCCCCATAGAAATCAACGCAGCAGGGGCAGAAGAGAATGGTGAGTGACTCGGACAGACAACACAGGTTCAGCAGGATATGATGTCTAGAAGCATGAAGAAGCTGCCTTCACTTTGAATGCTTGCACTCATGCACTTGGCGCCCGACTCCCGGAGTGGATTGGGTCTTTGGAGAAGCTTTCTCAAAAGCTTGGCGTCGGTACTTGCGCATGATCGGATCCAACTTCTTGTGATGAGGCCGTTTCGGATGTTCCGTGATTCCTGCTTTGTCAAGACGGTCCTGAGAGTCAAGGCCAGCTAAGGTTTACAAATTGGAGCAAGCAATTTAGCCTGTAAAACTCCTTTCCTTATCCATCTGATCTAATTTGTGGTTTCTTGTTTCCCAGATTGGTCAAGAGATTAGAGTCGAGCTGTTTGCACGAACAGGTTGTGATAATCCGGGACGGGTAAAAACTTGCGATTTTCCCGTTCAGGGGATGAATGTCGTCCATGAAGACCGGTCATTTTGATAGGAAAACCAGGGTGGCAAAGTCTTGTTGACTACAATATAGCCATAGTAGATCATAGTAGGACATTTAATCACGTTAATCACGACATACTGTAGTGGCTTTCTGCCGCCATTATTGTGACTTTTTTTCCGATGACAGCAAGGCAATGTCTTTAAACCAGGTCCCTAACCGGGCCATAAAGCCTCGAGCTGTTGACAGATCATAACAGAGCAACGTTTCTACAGTGTCACTGACTGTTGGATTGTACAATGTTGGAGCAGAAAGGGACATGAGCTGTGCAAGGAAAATGATGGTAGGCATACTCAAAACATCCAAAACATGGACGCAAAAACATCCATGCAAAGCAAAATCTAAACGACCTGCGATTGCACAAGAAGGGTGCAAGGTTTGTGCGCGGGTTTGTGCAAGGCCGGTGCCTACCACAAGCAGTTGCCAGGAATACACCACAGCTGTCATCCATATCACCAGACATGGCCATGTCTGGTGATTTTTTCACACTTCTTTGGAATGATCACAACATGCAACCCTTTGGCAGGCGTATGTGGCATTGTCTCGCTGTTGTCGAGCCGAGGATCTTTGAATTGAAGGTGCATGTTGCATATTACTACGTTTGAGCGGCAGGATTAAATGTTGTGCAGGGATGTGTGGTGTAGTGTGTGGCAGTGTGGCGTATTTGTTGCTCTATGTTAACCCAATGTCAACTCTGTCCATGGGATTTCAGGTTTCTACATCTTGATTCAGACTTGCACCGACAAAGGTCATTAAAGATCCCTATTACTCTTCCATTGTGCCAGATTTGTTTTGCACCTTTTAAAGGGCCACAAACTCCAGAGCCTGGCATTTAGGAACCTAAGTGACGGTATCCTTGAATATCACAGATACAAAATTATATTATATATACAGGGTTACCATACGTCTACCAGTCTTCAGTCCTGGTTTTAATGTTCAGCTACCTTCGTTTGATTGGCTGCATTTGGAGATGATATGTCCAACATTATTCGTGATGAGATGTGATGAGAATATCACTGGAACCGTACAACAATGTATCTAGGAATCACATGGCTGTTCGCTCCAGAGGCGCTCCTGATTGGTGGAGAGACCACACATTCATGGGCTGGCTTGGGGCAGGCCGCAGAAAGACTGTTTTGAAGCGAGTTGCTGATTGATCTGTCAGTCCCTTTGTTTGTGGTACAAGTATATTTGTTACATCTCTTGCAGTAACTCTTGAATGTTGCGTTTATCTTAACTGTCTATTACGTCTATACTACAAGATGTCCCAATATCTGTTGTTATACAGCAAGTGGCTCAAGCTGCGTCTGAAATTCTCTAGTACCTATCCTGCTTTTTCGATCTTCTCCAAGTACTGTACTGGTACTAAGATTACGAAGTGAATTCAATCCAATCCCATCATATGAATGTATCATTTGCTATTTTAATTTGTTCATGCCCTTGACCGCATTGAGCTTGCAGGTAATCGAACACGCCTTTTCTTGGTAGTTGATGTAGTTGTTTCTTCTACCATTTTGAAACCAATCGTTGGCCCCCAACTTGAGCCAAGCTAACTTCTTTGGCTCGCGCATTGGAGGCCAAGGGCACATCTGATGAATTGGTGGAACGGGTGAGAATGGTACCTTGATTTTGCGAGTTGACGAACTCAACTGACCGATTGACTTGGTGGACTTAGGGTCTCTGTATGGACCCTTTGCACATCAGCCATCATCAGCCTGGAATAGGAGTCGGGAACAGTGACAGAGCTATGATCACTTGCATTTGCCATTGTCGGACCAGGACAGATTCATTTTTGTCGGGAGGGAGTGCCGGTGTTCCAAGGATGCAGCTGCATGCAATCGTTGGCTTGCAGCAAGACTTCTGGTCATCGATGAGGTCGTTCAGAGCATGTGAGTGAAATCCCACGCTTTGGCGATTCCTGTGAGTGAATCTTGCCACTTTCTGCCTCATGTTTGATTGTTTGATAGGCTTATCATTTAATCTACAGGTCTGGGTGAACATTCACGCTTCCTAAGCCCCCATGTTTGATTGTTAAACTGCCCAACCTGGGGTCCACAAATTGACAAATTAGACCCAGAGTCCTCTTATCAATGTTGAAGGTGCATTGACATGAATTTGTTCCAATACCAATGCGTCTTGATATGAAGACCGTTGCTGTATGAGTTTAAGACCATTCATATCCATCCATCAACATTCAGAAAGATCATGCAAATATGTTAAAATATAATCCATTCACATAAAATACAATCAACATCAATTAACATCAATCAACCAATGGTCAACCAATGGTCAACCAGTGCAGGTCTCCATGATTTCAGCCAAGCTGCTGGATGCCTTGGACCAGTGCGGCCGTGTGTGTCGCGGTTTGTCAATGCCCTTTGGAAATCTGCCGGTGTTGTTATGTGGGAAACCCAGCTGATCTCAGGTGGTTACCCCGGAAATCCCCGAAAATGGGCGCGATTTTCCATTGCAGACACTTTCCAAACGGCAAACGAAGTTTGGTGAAAACCTCAGAACATGATAGAACATGTAGGCAATAGACCAATACAGGAAAACATGGAAAAAAGGACAAGTTGTGTGCTAATTATATCCCCATTCTATCCCCATGATATTCCCACTATAATCCCCAACGAATCTGAAGCCTCAGCCTTTCCATGTCAAGCCAGCGAAACATCCCAGCTCTTTTAGGTGGTGATTTCCATCAACTTCCTCCAGTTTCTCTGGATGGTTGGGCCTTCCAAGCCAAGGCAGGAACAAAACCGGTATGTATCTTGTTGTATGTATTTAATGGTCGTGTGTAATGCTGTACGCTGTATTTATACTCGATACAGTATATATTGATTATATTTATCATATTTATTATATTTGTTATATTTATATATCATGATATGTAGCAACATGTATCATGCATAATCCACTAGTAGCAGTACTTTATTGATAGAAATCCTGGAACTCCTCCGTCCCCAGGTTTGGAAGGAGGCCATCAGCTTTTCCCTGGAGCTGACGGAGGTTCTTCGCAGTGATCCACAAGAGCGGCAGCTGTCGAAAGCCCTGCAGGAGGTGCTCGAGTTCCAGAATATACAATCATATTTAGATAGAGCATACATGATCATACACATAATTATAAATATTATAAAGCACTGTTTTCAGAACTGTGGTCTTAAGAAATTCCAAGTTGTTTCGATGTTGCATGACCAGCAGACAATGACATACAATGACTCCAGGTGCGATGTGGCCGCATCTCGGACGGATCGTGGCAGTTCCTGCAGTCTTTAGCGAAGAAGCCAAGGCAGATTGGATTGTTACTGAGCTTTTAATAGTTTAATTGTTACTGGCAGATTGGATTTAGTCCTAGCTTTCCTAATGTAGGCATGATTGTTCAATCCAAGCCGCAGATTTGAAGAGATGGCACCCTGTACTCACTTCGCCTTGCAGGCTTGTCAGCATTTTATTCAAGTGTATATTCAATTATTCACTTGGCCTTGCAAGCTTGTCAGCATTTGTAGCCAGCCATTGTCTTAAGTTGTTCCTGCTGTCCTCAGCGAATAGACTCAAATCGTCAGAGGGTCAAAATTTCAGGAGAAAAACGCTGAATCTCCAAATCATCCCCAAAGCCAAGCTTGTTTTCCGACTCAACCGAACAATTGCGATTTTAGATGATTTTAGTCAACTTTGCACAACTTTGAAAATACAAAGATGTTTGTTGGGGGCATTCTCAACAACTGAGTCGACCTTCACCTGACCAGGCAGAATGATCGGTGCCCCGTGGTGGTGGTGCCCACCAACCGGCAGGCCTGTGGCCATGGATTCATGGAACATGTTTGGACCATGGTGGGATTTGTTTAAAGGTAGCTGGGGAGCATGTCCGTATCTCCTGCAGCTTCAGGAGCGAGTGCTGAGATACATCCAGCATCCAGCATCGTTCACTCTTGCATCATCTTGCATCATGATGTTTGACGGGCACTTTTTCAGATTTCAATGATTAGACATCCATAACATATCATAAAATGCCATGCTTTCTGGCTTGAAATTGTGGAGCCTCCACAGGCGGATGAGATCAATGTGGCAGCACTCCGGGCCGCCATGGAGACAAGTGGAGAGGCTGCAGCAGAGGATAGTCCTGACATATCCTGACAAAACTTCTCTGCACGGCACTAATGTTATCACACTTTTGGACTTCTAAAGTCGTAAAGTTTGCTTTTGCTCATGTTCAGCACTAAGATGCACCAAGATGAGATGACGTGATGATCATGATGTACGCTTGATTGTTGCACTACGGTATATATATATATATATGGCAAAGCCTGTCAAGGTGGTTGGATGTTGGTTTGAAGCGAATCCGAATCACGTCCTCCTGATTGATTCTCCGGTTTCCACATGTTTCCACTGTTCAAATCTACGCCATTTTGCTTCCAACGCTTCGGTGCAGATTCATCGCTATTCTGCACTACACGTAAGTGGTGCCAGAAAAAAGGAGGCGGGATCCCTTAGAAGGAGAGGTCCATGGTGGGACATGGTGGGACTTTGTCGCTGCTCGCAGATGCTTATTAATAAAATTTCAGGTGCTGCCAACCTACCAAGAAAGAATTGTGACCAGCGATGAATCAGGGTTTGCGGTTGGAAGCTGCTCTGGAATCCTTTGATGTCTTTAATCTTCTCATATCTTCTCCTTAGTACCTACACCAAGTGAGCAGTGTTCAAAACTCTGCTGGTTTGTGATTATAGGGGATTATACTACCAAATTATCCCAACCTAATATATTGTGAATTATAAATTGTATATACCATATAATATATATATATATATTGTATTATTATTGTAGATTACATAATCCTTTATCGGGATCCTTCCAGGTGCCAGAAGAGCTTTCACTCTGCAAGGGCGCTGTGGTGGTTCTGACGACCAGCATCAGGTCCCCGGCGGAAAATCATGGGAAAAATGGTGGAAAAACAGAGAAAATACCTTAACATACCATGTGCAAGGGTCTTTCCTCAACAGACATCAACACACAACGTCAGGAGACTAGTTGCAGCTCTAGCGGTGTACTCGATTCGACTTTATTTTGCATTCTTTTACTTGCTCAATGAATTCATAGACGGTTGTTGCATTTTTTTGCTAAATCTCAGTGATCTAATTTTTTGACATGCTTGGGTCTAGTCTCCTTGCGCAGGGTGGGACCACAAGGCGAGGTGAAATGGGCCAATGGCCTTCGTTCCTCGGCTGAAAGTGGCCTTTATGTTTTGGCTGGACGACTGTGCTCTCAGGTTGTTGCGTCTCTGGCTTCGTACAGCTGTTCGGCTCCCGAGTGAACATGTTTCGGCATTCTTTGGGAAATATAGCTATAGGATCCTATAGGTTGGCGGGGAATGTGCAGTGGCCCGATATTCCAAGTGCGGGCATCAGTCGGCATCAGCAAAGAACACCCCCCCAAATCTCAGACCTGCAGAATCCTGACTTTGTTCAAATTGTTCTGTTAAAATATTCTGAACTCAACTGGAAGATTTTGGAAGCAACCAACTGCCGTGAACCGTATCCACTTACTGCCCATTGGACATGCATTGAGCGCTCCTGAGAGCGCAGCTGTGGCAGTCACCTGAGGCCACGCAAAGTTTGGATGCTCAGAAGGGCTGCCATATGCGGGTCATGTCAGTGACATCAGGAGGTCCAAAGGTTGTTGGACCATGGGATTTTCTGACGATCGAAAATTCTCTGATCAAAATTGATCAACCCATCCAGCGGGTATCTGATCCGAACGCCACTTCATGCCACTTCTCAGGCCTTCGACCATCGACATCCAGATTTTGAAGCTGTTCATGGCCACAGCCTTCGCCAATTTTTGCTGCGACATGGGGGCCTGTTGCCAAAATTGCAGGCCCGTTGTACCAGTAGCAGATGCTCCCCGAGTTGTAGATTGTAGATTTGATACTGGTGTCACTGGTGTCCATGTTTACTTCCGATATCTTCCGCTGGATCTTGAGTGAGGTGCCGAAGTTGACACTCAGAGATTGCTTGTGTTGCTATTGTTCTGTGGACATGTTTTGATCATTGCTCAGATTTTCATGGATCCGCCAGATCTGCGAATATTGCTGATGGGAATTGAATTCGATTTAGATATAATATTTCAATGGATTGGTTTAAGGGAAAATCTACAGGAAACCATGGTTTTTACCATCAAATATAGGGTTTTCCTGTAACATTTCCCATCATCCAATTCTATTGGATTCTTGATGTCAAGGTCCTTTTCCACCAGCGTAGGCTTTAGAAGACCCAAGCTCTGAGTACGTCCTACACCCGGCTCCTTGGCCCTGAATGGCAATCAATGTATATGGGGATGGGTCAAAACCCTGGTACCTAGTGAACCCCAAAATAGCTGGTAAATGGATGTTCATCCCACTAAAATGTATCTACCTAGGTCTTCAAAAGATCAAGAATTTTTGGTCGACCCCTAGTGTTCTACTTTTTCTGGACGCTAATTCAAAAAGTAGACGTTTTGGTCGATATCTCCAAAAACCGGTCGTGAGCTTTATGCCCTCCACTGCAACCTTGATTTTTCTGTCATTCCCCGACCCCCTGAATTGATTATAGATTTCGCTCATGGAAAAAGCCTGGTTTTAAATGGTCTCTCACAAACTAAGTCGTGCATCCCAATCCGCATGGTGATGTGCACACACACACACACGCACAGTGTTCAAACTTGCAATCATGACCATGCTTCTTCCAAAAACATAATTCCGTGAGAACTCTGCAAAAAAGAAGCAGAAGGCTTAACATTTCCATTTTTTTGCATATTGCCGAAAACATTAAACAACAACGTGACCTAGTTTTTGGGATTTGTAGGCGTTTGATGGTTTTTGTAGTCGTTTTGAAGCTTTTGAGGGAGTTTTGAAGGTTTTTGTAGGCGCGAACTTTCGCACAAAACGTGCACATCGCATACAAAAATGAACATAATCTAAGAAATGGTGAGCCAAAGAGTCTGTTAGTGGCACTTCAAAGCCGATTGACCAGCTAACATGGCTGGTCAGAGTTTAGCGTTTTGATTTTATTCGCTTATGGTGGATAGAGGGTAGGTGGTGGTTGACCCTGTCGATTTGCGGGCCACTTGTCATTGCTTCACTTGTCATTGCGGACCCAGTTGAATTGTCCCACTTTGCTGGGTTTGCTTCTTTCATCCTGATTTGTGATTGCATCATACATATCGTTCACTTATTTGCACGATGGAATCTCGTGAATTACATTTTGGCTTAAAGCCAGGGTAAGCATTGGTGAAAACCATGCTAGGGGCCACGTCGTACCATGCGGTGCTCAAAGTCCAGACGCCCCGGCCGCTACCCTGCATGGAGAGAAAACAGTGAGTAAAAGCGTTTGAGACAGTGCATCCCTGGCACAAACCGGTCGGGAGTTTGGACTCCTTGCTACGGGTGCTGGAGAAGTCTTGGGTGGTGCAAGTATACTGGTTTTTTCTGGCTCGCTTGCTTCCTCTCTTCCATATTCCGTGTCCTTTATCTTCATATTCATTTTCCAGCGTATTCTTTGAGAACATGGTTGCCTTGATCAAGAATGTGACTAACAAGTATGGCCCTACATGGTATGTACATGCATCCTCCGGATTCATCATGTATTTGGTTGCTGTCAATGTGACCTCGGCAGTGAGCAAGCCTTTTCAGTGGGACTGGCCTGATCAGTACATACACTTTGAGCAGCAGATGCTGGAAGATCTTTGCCGCCGTGTCTGTGACCTTGTTTGGCTTGAGGTCCTCAACTGCTTAAGCTTCACGGGGAATTGTGCCAAGTTTTTGAAATGTTGTGACTGTTGTTTGGAACTTTTGCTTGGTTTCCTAATCCCCCCACATATGCGGTGGAAGCGAAAGGTGGCAGTGCTAGAACGATTGGCTGCAATTCTTTTCGCAGCAAAGACATTGGTTTGGTTTCATGCAAACTTGCATTGCAGGGTGGCCAAAAGTATGTGGCCCCTGCTTACTGTGAATGTACAAATGGCTTTGATAGGTGATACTCATTATGCTTTGGAGCTGGTTGCATGGTACCGGGAGATTTTTTCTACATACTTGGATCGTGGCTTTTGCTTGTATCTTTGGTTTGCAAGGAGTTTTCAATACATTGGGATAGCTAGATTGCATCGTACAGGTTCTGAACATGTTGGACCGGTCCAGCGTTTGTTTGAGCATTTGGTCCTTTGTCGTCGGCAGCATGCCCCTCATGCGCGCTTTTTGAGATACAAGTTGGCCAGGCGGATGCCGCTCTGGAAGACGTTGTGGTTTCCGGTACATTGTGGTGAAGAGCCCATGATACGCGCTGCCGAAAGTTTGCTTATACAGTCTTTTCGACCCAATGCGAACTTTGTACCTGCAGCTCCCAAACATTGCGGCGTGAAGTTTCCTAGGCGTAGGAAGAGGCCTCCAAAATTTATCCGCCTCCGTCAGAAAGGGCTTACTCCTGGAGTGCCTTCTGTTGGATCCATATGGTCCGGTGTTGTGTGGAAAAACATGTTGGCTCGTGCTGAAAGACTATTGTGGGGACGACAGCGACAACAAGAGCATGATGGTTATGCCTTTCTTTGGTCCATGTCTTTCCATGAGGCTTATAGGTTCCAACAGAAGATTTTTTGGGTAGCTTTTGGCCAGTTTGGCCCTGTCAATTTGTACGAGCGTGGCCAGCGTCGACTTGTGGCACTTTGGCTGTCTTGCAAGTCTTGCCGACTTGACTTGTGTCGTTTGCGTCGTGCTTGGGCATGTGACTCGGTTGGTGTGGTTTTGGACGGCCTTTGCAAAAACATTGATGCTCCTGGGAGGAGACGGTTGGCTTTTGCAGCTGTGCGGCAAATCTTGCGTCTCGAAGGGCTCCCCAGCAAAGCATTGTACACTATGACGGTGCCTGAGAAGTACTTAGTTGGTGTTGTTCGTAGACTTACCTTTTCCATGGCGCGCAACTGCAAGAAATGGTCGAAATCCGTTTGCACATGGGTCTTGAAGAAAACGCGTGTGGTCGTGGGTCGCCGGCGCACTTTCCGTGATGATCTGTCGCATGCACAGTTTGCCCGCAAGGCAGATGTCCGGAGCGCACTTGATTTTGATGATGCCACCCTGGCAGCTGGCCTGTCTGGGTTTAATATGAAGAAGGTTGAAGCTCATATTGACACTGCTAAGCGGCGTACGGTACATGAAATTTGCCATGATATTGTTGGCTTGCTTAACAATTGGAGTTGCTGGTCAGGGCTGGGTCGCTGCAAGTGTCCAACTGCAAAGGCACAACGCGAGTTGTTTTCATCTCGTGCATATACCTTAGCGGCCAGCCGCCTTGACATGTCCCATGTTGAGTTTGCTACATACACTCATGACATGCGTTGTGATGATTCCTTGGTGCGGGTCCCAGATGACAAGGACCGTGCTTGCATGTGGTTGATACCTCCTGCTTGCTATGTTACTATGTTGCTGATGTATGCCATCCTGGCGCCTACATGGAAGCAGTGTCCTCTTTCTGTCCAGGAAGCTAATGTCATCACTGCTTTGACTTTACTTCGCATTGTCCCGGAGGGTTTGCACAGGTGGCTGCAGCTTGATGCTGATATCATGTGGCTTCCATATGTGTATGTGACAGTGAAGTCAAAATGCTATGGCGGTACTGGCCGGGTGTGTAGGAAACTATGGCATTCATGCTGCCGCAACGTCATTTCTTACTGTAGGTGGCGTGCCAGGAGGAATTGGCGGTTTGTTGGACGCGGCTTGGATGTCATCCTTAGAGCCTCTGGTAAAGGATTCGAAGTACGTGACATGTCCTGTGCATCGACCAATTTGCTTGCTGATATCCATGGATTGCAACCTGGGCAATGTTGCAACACTTGCCAGCGGTGTGGGCATCTCAAGCGTGACTTGAATGGGGTTGTTTGTGATGCCGGTCAATTCTTTGAAATGGTGAAACCCCATGATGCCTTGGCTTCTGTTCGGGAGATTATGCATGATGTTTCTGCGCGTACTGGTCAGAACACTGTGACAGTTCTCAAGACTCGAAAAGTTCACGGGTTCCTCGGTGGCACTGCTGGCCTTTTTCGACCAAAATCTGTGACCTTTTGCTTTGATGACCTCCTCCAATGTTTTTGGGCTTCTGTCATGGTTTGTTTTTGTTATGTGGGTAACATGGTTTTCAGACTCAGCAGTCTCCCGATTGGGGGCTTACTCAGCCGCGTGGCCTCTGGATATGTACTTGCGTGTGATGAGAGTGCATGGACTTCATCTGTATCTTCTCAACGGCAATCTGGTTTCTTTATACCTGGGGTGCGATGGGCTAACTTGCTTGTTTGTATAGATACATTGATGATCTACTTATTCTCTCACGTGCATGGTGCTATGACTGTCTATGTGCGCTTCCTGCCTTTATCTACAAGGTTCCCTTTGACCCTGGCCCCAACTCTCGCACTTTGACATGGCTGGACATGGAAATCAACTTGGACACTATTTGCCCAGGTTTGAAGAGCACACCTTTCCGGATTCCTCCACCCTGGGATGTTACCCAACAAGACTACGAAATTTGTTTTGGGCAAGGCTTTCCAGATATCAGCAGCTGCAACTGACTGAAATAGTGTGGCAGGAAGATTTGTGCTTTCAAATGGTTTGCCTTTTACGGCAACATGTTGGACGAAGGCGTTTGAGAAATTTGGTTTTCAGCATGTACAAGAGTTCGGTTCACGAAGAAATTGCTTTTATGAAAACGGTGGTTTGTGCCCAAATGTTCAAAGACATGAGTAGGGACATACGTGGCGACGGAGCTGCTCTTACTCAATAGGCTTTGCGGAATTGCGCACAGCTTTTGAGCAGCCATGGTGAAGTTTGTTTTGACCCTCCTCTTCCTGCATTTGTGGCTTGCGCATGCTGGCTGGGGCTATAGTGGTAAGGGTTGGTCCCAGCGATCGTATGGCAGCAACTCCAATGGTGGAAGATGGCAAAACTGGAGCGATGGGTCTCAGCGCCCTCCCTTCCAGCCGCAGACTGTCCGCATTGAGGTTGATCATGTTGGGCGCAGCAGCTCACGAAAAGACAGGAAGAGCAAAAAGGACAAGAAGCGGCGACGCAACAGATCCATGTCATCATCATCCAGTTCTTCTTCACCATCAGTCAAGAACCGCCGTAGCCGGAAGGATCTACCCCAAAGTAGTGCTATGGACTCCAGATTGCAAGCTGAGCTTGAAGCACTCCGCAAAGAAAAGGCAGACAGGGATGCTCAAGCTCAAAAAGAAGCTCTCTTGGCCGAAGTACGTGCTATTGCTGCAGAAGGGGTGAGGAGTGCGCCTTTGAAAGCCGGTTCCACGCAGCACATGCCAGATGGGTCTGTGGCACTGGGAGACGCCAAAGATCAGCTCACACCACCTGATCGCATGGCAGTTTTTCACACACTGGATGGGTATGAGAAAGTCAAAAAAACCAAGACATGGCTGGAGCTTGAGGAAACTCTGGCCAGTGAGGAGGAAAGTGTGCTGAAAGAGCTTTACAGAAAGGTGTGCCGCCGCTCCCAGATCGAAACCTGCAATGGCGCACAAGCTCGTGCAGGGCTTGAAGAATGCGATTGCTGAATTTTCAACTGCTTGAGGGGATGATGCTGTGGGGCTGTGTGAAGGGCGAAATACTGCAAGGAGCGATCTTCCTTTGCCACCATCCCTTCCGTTTTTTGGATCATGGGTGGGCGTCTTCATAGTTTCTGCCACAGGTTGTTGTGCATTTATCTGTGGAATTTCTTTCTTTCGGAGCATCGCAGTGTAGCACAGGGGCCCTTGGTCAGATCTGGCCCATTCCATACCTCTCTGCTCTGAAAACCATTGCTTTTGATTACCCAGTGACTAATGCTATTCTGGCCAACACCTTTGGCTATGATGCGGGCTATATGGCTAGAGCGCTGTGTTTATCTGCAGCATGCACCGGTTTTCTGATGAGACGTCCTCTTTTGGATTACGGATTTGGCTGGAAGCAGTTGCAAAGTAGAAGCCTTTTGTTCAGTGGCCACAATGCTTCAACCCCTTTTCCTTGCACGAACCTTTTAGTGCGACGGCCATTTTGTGAGCACTGAAGGTGTTGTCAATTTGGTTTGTTTAAAGAAATTTGGTGCAGAGATATCCACTGCTAGTTGACGATTTGTTTGGCATGAGTCATCAGCTGAATGCTCGGCCCAGTTGAATTGTCCCACTTTGCTGGGTTTGCTTCTTTCATCCTGATTTGTGATTGCATCATACATATCGTTCACTTATTTGCACGATGGAATCTCGTGAATTACATTTTGGCTTAAAGCCAGGGTAAGCATTGGTGAAAACCATGCTAGGGGCCACGTCGTACCATGCGGTGCTCAAAGTCCAGACGCCCCGGCCGCTACCCTGCCTGGAGAGAAAACAGTGAGTAAAAGCGCTTGAGAATGGCCCACATGAGGGAATTCAACTGACATAGGATTGAATGAAATGAAACCAGGGAAATCATAGGTAAATTGCAAAAGTAGGCGCTTTGCTGAAGAACTACTTTTTCTGACCGATATCTCAAAAAGAAGTCAACAACCTAGTCTCCCAGAAAAAAGTGCTACGAACGAAGACCTAGGTATAGGTATTGACCCATACCCATATAATCCGCACAGTACGGTGCTAGTTGGCATGCTCCGAATTATTTCTAGGTTTGACTTTTGAAAGCAAGTCAAAACTAAATTGAAAAGTGGCGCTGTTTTGAATCGTGTGAACTACGTACCTTTACAGGAGTTGTTTAAAACCAAAGATTTTTTGCGCTACAACAGAATCAGGTTCACTTCTCAGAGAGAAACTCTGGTGAAGGCACACTGGGAATCCGCACCATGCAGTGTGCAGTCCGCTTTCCAGTGAAGCCAAGAGGTTTTCAGAGGTGATGTTTCTTATGTCGAATACTGTACCCAAGGCTTCAAGGATACGGACTTGACACAGAAGATCTCGGCAGCCTACTATTGGAGAGTCATAGTTTTAAAGCCAATGGCAACAGAATCAGTATTCAGCAGTTCTGTTTCAAGTTCACAGTTGCCAAGGCCTTGCATTTTCTTGGGAAAATTTGAAGATTCTGAAATTCATCATCACACCACTTGTCCCGCTTCTTTATTCAATTTTATTCATTCATTTGATTTTGCAAACACCAGAGACTGCGTGAATTGAGCCGGTGTTTTGAAGTCTATATATTTCAAAATATGTTGCAAGCAACTATGCATATCAGTGGATGTAAAACACTTCACATATTGAACCAGCAACAAGAGACAGCTTCGATAATCTCCGAATCTCCAGACAGTCTTAGCATGTCTTAGCTGATTGTCCAATGACCTCGCAGAATTCACAATATACAGCAGAGGGATGCAAAGAGTAGCACAGTCTCTATTTTCTGTGAGTATTTCATTCCTTCAGGTGCATACAAGGCTTGTGATAATATACGTATTTAATAATTACTAATATAGCAACGACAGTTCTTATTGTCATTATATCGTTGCATACAGTACTATATTGTGTGCCCTCTGTCTAGACTGAAATTTGGTACCTCTTGTTGTGGAGACCGTTTGCTACTAGCACAAGCAGGAAGCAGCAGCAGCTGCTGCTGCTGCAGCAGCAGCAATGACGAATAATCACCACCTAACAACCTGGTGTACCTGGATTTTTGCTTCATAAGGCTCGCTAATTGCACAAGTCTCTCTTGTGAGAACGATCGATCCTGTCTCCGAATCAGCTGACCAGGTCCTGGTGTGGTGCAGTTGCCTATTCGACTAGGCACGATAACGATGACCTTTGCAGCTCTGTTTTGCCTTTCTGTATAGCACAAACGATGACCCCGAGCTTGCAAATTGTTTCCAGGACATGAAATTGCAACCTTTCCTTGATTTGGCTCTGGCCGATGTCAACGTTTGTGTACTTTGATATTACGCAGTCCGAAAATCACAATTCACAGATTCTTGGGTTGGTCAACATGTCTGTGTTCTGTCCACACTTTCCGAAGTCTGGTTCAACATTGCCCAGTCTATCAATTTCCTGGTCTATGGAACCCAACATGCTTCTCCACAACACCATCCACGACCCCTTGGCAGTTTGCACATCGTGCAGGGTGGGCAGTGACAGCACATCGCGCTCAGGGTGCTTCCATGGAGGGAGGAGCTGTTGCAGTCTTGCAGGGCCTCTTTTCACCAGGGCAGGCTCCAATCTGATGCGCGTCCCAGTGGTGCAACAGCGACAATAACATACAATAACCACATGTCAGGTGTCTTTTTCTGGAATGATCACAACAGACACTTTGGCTTGGGAGGCGTATGTGGCATTGTCTCGCTGTCGTCGAGCCAAGGATCTTTGGATTGAAGGTGCCTACTACGTATTGTTGCGTATTGTCACGTATTGTTCCGGGCGAATGGCAAAATGGGCCACAAACTCCTGAGCCAGGGCTGCCGCATCGTGATGCAGATGGATGGGTAGCGGCCTTTGCACCCGAGGAGGAGGCCCCAATTTGGGCTGGGTTGCTGTAGTGGTTAGTAGATATATGTAGATATTATAGTCGTGGATAGTACTGGGGTTAGAACTATTAGAAGTACTTGGGTAATAAAATATCGATATATTGATCAATATTGTATAATATAATATTAAATAAATGTACTTATACTGAACTGGTTTTCTGGGGATCACATTAGAGGAGCCAATAATATGGCTTGGGGATGGCTCAAAACCTATGATTTTCCAACGCAACTGGGGGATGAACATACGTGAAGACGAGCTAATTTGATGGAGGGTTTTGGTCCAACATTTTAGTCACAATTTTCATCATATCCACATATACAGAGCACGACAGAGCACGGCTTTTTGCTGCCAAGCAGTGCGACTTTCTTCCAGTGACAGTAGAGCAATGTCTTCAAGGTAGGTCCTAAATCGGGCAATGAAGCCTTGAATTGTCGACAGATCATAACAGATCAGCGTTTCTGTAGTGTCGCTGATTCTTGGATTGTACAATGCTTGAATAGAGGGGTGAAGGAGCAAAAGGTCTGCAACTCGGGTGTTCTGAAACCTCACCCGGGCGGACGGGTTGGGCCGTCCGCTGCCTTGCAAGGTTCAAGCCTTCTATCAAACCATGCGTGGCTTCTGATGAGCAAAGGACGGATTTGAATGGAATACTTAAGATTGACAGCTTTGAATTGAGAGAAGATCAAATGTGGAAGATAAACTTTGCAGACATGCAGACCGCAGGACTTTTTGGTGATGCTGGGGAAACCATTGCAATTGGGGAAATGCATTGGTATGGTCCTGGTGCCGCCCTCAGATTTTGTGCCCAGCTTGCACTTCAGTCCGCCAACTGAGAAACAAAGCCAACGCAGAGAGAAGCCATTCAGTGTTGCTTTCGCTGCCGTTGTTTTTGACTAGCAAATGTCACCACCGAAACAGAAGACATCAGAAGACGCAAGCTCACACTGAGCAGTGTGTCACTGTGTGGATCTTCGAACACAGTGGTGCTGAACAGGGGGAATGGGACCGCTGAGAGCCGGATGCATCCGCTGAGCCAACAGCCCTTGTGACCCAGCATTGGTGAAGCTGTTGGGATAATCCTGTGCGACTTATGGAGACACAACAGGTTGTGAATGGTTGTGATATTTTTAACACCTTACTAGGTACGCCTTACATCAATCCTTGTTGACATCGCCATTGGTGCTTGTATTGAAGATGTAATTACATTATTACAATTACATACTCTTTGAACTACTGGGCATTGGTGGAAAGGTGCCCTTTGGATCCCTTTGGTTGGTACCCTTCCAACATTGCGAAGTGACTCAAATGCCATTCACCTAATCGCAAAGAAATGAACCCTACGCTTGCAAACTGGGGCCCTCTTGTCATTCTGTTGCTGGCTTTGACATGGCTCCTCTGCGGAACGCGTAGTGATGCGTAGTGAGTATAGACAATGCGCTAGGTGCATGTGAGCAACTTGAGTTGAAGTACAGAACAAGGTGAACAACATTGAGAAAAGGTCCGCAGACGCAGCAACGGAGGTGATCACATTTCGTGTCGGGTCTTATTCCTCAGATTTATGCGCAGGATGAAGTTGACCTTCGAAGTAGTAGGACATAGTAGGACAAGAGAGCGAGGGTCATGCAGTTTTTCCCACCCTGTGAGCTGGAGATAGCTGACGGACCCTATGGTGAATTTTCTGAGGCACTTGTCGTTAAAACAATTAAGTGTCACCCATTTTCATTGTGAAGATGCATTTTTCTCTTTGCATGCTTGACTGCTCATAGACAATCCCACAATATGATCGGCCCAATGGTGCAATAGCCACCAAATCCCCATGTGGGGACCATTCTGAGACCCTCAAATTGGTACCTCAAATTTTAGTAGACAGGTTTTTCAATGACTTTTCAGTCGCTCAAAACCTGCATCTCGGAAGTTGCCGGCGTCAGGCCAGCCCAAGGTTTACGCAAGGACAATGAAAGTAGGGATACCGAAAACATCTGAAAACTGTACACGAAAACACACAGGGCAAAATTTCAAAACAGACCGTGATCGCACTAGAAAGGGTCACTGTTTGTGCAAGGCGTACGCTGGGCGCAACAGCAGTTTGGAGAGGAAGGAATTCAGAACAACCTCAATACAACCCTGATGTCAACCCATGTTTGGTCAGTTTTTTACTTTTTTAACGGTCACTGGGACACTTTGTCAGGCGTATATGGCATTGTCTCGCTGTCCTCGAGCCACAGATCCTTAGAATTCAAGGTGCCTGTGACGCGTGAGCGGCTAGATGTTGTGCAGGGATGTGAGGTGTATTCGTTGCTCTATGTCAACCCTGTCTACTGGATTTCAGGTTTCCACATCTTCATTTAGCCTCGCATCCGCAAACATCTCTATGATTCTTCCATCGTGCCAGTCCTTTTTTGCAAATCCAAAATGGCCACAAACTCCTGAGCCCAGCATCGAAGAACCTACCTGACAGCATCCTTGAAAATCCCATGAATACTGCAATATACTGCATATTTTGCAACATTATAAGGGTTAAATATGGTTTAATCATGTTTCCATATATATTCCCATACAATTGGAATCAACTGGGTTGATATCTCCTTATCCATCCTTCTCGGAGCCGAGACATCACCTCCGCTGCTTGGCGGTTACTCGTAGAAACGCCAGGTCTACAGCTTGAGCTTTGGACCAGGAGCATTGAATGACCGGATGGGACCCCTACAGGCCAGATCCGGTGCGGCAAATCATGGGGTGTCATTGTGTCCTTTCCTGTAGCAGGGGCAAACGACAAACGACTCCTTCACGCTGAGATTTTGCCAGAGGCTACTGACATCAAATCAAGGTGTTTCATTTGTGTTGTTGAGTTCTGCAATGATTCAATCTTTTGACAGGAAGGGGCTCAGAAGGGACACATGGTTTCCTCCAGTAGACTTCGAACAGTTTCAATTAAAGTGTGAACAGTGTGAGTTGCCTGGAACAGCTTCTGCCTGATGAAAGCCACTTCCTGAAAACAATTGGTTCGAAGCCTCTATGACATTGGTTTCAGGATTCAACAAGAACTGATCAATTTTTCCACTGCCAGACAAAGACTCATAGACTCCACTTTGACATACATGCATTGACGCGGAACGCCACCATGCACATAGGTACAGGCATACTTGAACCAAATTTTGACGCCATGATGCCCGGGATTTTCCTCGCTCTTCCCAAGCTCTGTCTGCTGGTTAGCTTGACAGCAGTGAATGGATTTGGACTTGAATCGTGGTGTCAGGCAGGTATTGGAAGCTGTGTTGGGCAGCGCCACATGTTTCGAAAACGAGACATGTCTGGAGACTTCGTGATTGAAGGTTACAGCTTTGACGGAACCATTCGGTTTGCTGACTGGGACGGCGATGGTGACACCGATGTCCTTGTTGGAGATGGAGGCTCGATCTGGTTCCACGAACGACTTTCGAATGATGCTATCCGCAAACATGAGTTGGTGCAGCTTCATGCCAGAGAGGGGCAATTGCTGAGTCGCTTTGAAGTGGCTGATTGGGATGGTCACTGAAGCTGTTCATATAACATGTTAATATTATTATATATTATAAGATATTATAAGTGCCTTTTGATTGCCTTTTGCTGTCTTTTTTGCCATTCACATTTGATATCACTTGACAGTGATATCAAGTGATTAGATTGGTACGATCACGCCCAAGCGGTGTTTCAATTACTTAATAAATTGATCGTGCAACAGCCTAGGTGACAAGAATTTGGACTTGTTGCTCTGCACCATGGTTGGAGATTTGCTGACGGTGAGCTTGCTGAATCAATCCTTCCTCTTCCCAATAAAAAACATCTCTGAGTTTCCTGAAGTGATTCTGGTGACCCATGGATCTTCGTGTGACATGTTGGCCAGAGATTTTGATGAGGACGGTGATGTGGATCTGATTCTTGGCCATGATAGATGGGAACCGGCATATTCAAGGTACTTTGAGCGTATTTCTTCTTCCAATGTGGTGGAGCGCATGGAGGATGAAAATCCATTAAACATGTTCAACGGCACAGTGCAGTTGATTGATGATGTAGATGGTGATGGGCGTTTGGAAGTTGTTTCAGGTCAGAAAAGGACAATCCAAAATGTGGTTGGCTACTCCCTTTACCTCTTCCAGCGTGCTGCTGATGGTAGCCTCGTGGAGACGCAAGAAAATCCATTGAGGTCCTTTCAGATCATCATTTCCCTCTATACACATTTGATGTTTCGCCAGGAAGTACGTGTGACGGACTGGAATTCAGATGGGCTGCCAGACGACATTGAACAGCATTTGGAGACTGGACCCTGTATCATGCATATGAACAGCATGTTCTGGATCAAGACATGCGGCTCGATTCGCATGCCTACGACGACATTGAAGTAGGCTACAAAGGCCAGGAAATTAGTGTAGACTGGGACGGGGATGGCTTGGAAGATCTCGTGGTTCTGCGTGATCTGCGTGAATCGAGTGAGGGCCAGGCCAAGTTGAAGCACCTTCATTTATATGCAAACTCAGGTGAGAAATTCCAAGAAGTGCCTGGTGTGTTTGAGAATGTGACAGAAAGCCTGCTTGGAGAAGGAGCAGCCACGGCTGCCATAGTAGACTGGGACAGAGACGGTGATTTAGACCTCATCATCTTATCTGAATCAGATCGCAAGGTGCACTACCATGAGATGGTTTCTGGGAACCTTCAAAAAGAAGAGCCGCAGCATCCGTTCAAAAACATCACCATCCCACCAGAGGTCCTTGAAGGATATGATTTCTCATTATCATTTGATTTTTTCCATCCCATCGCGGTGGACTGGGATAACGACGGCGATATGGACTTGTTTTTGGGATCTCCAGATGGGCGGTTCTTTGAGCAGGTGGCAGACGGGACTCTACGCGAGTGGCCACGCGAGCAAAGCCCAATTAGCCTAGAACCTGGGCCGCCTGTGCGCCCTAGGCAGCGGTTTCGACCTACTACTACCAAGTGGGCGTTCGTGGACTGCGATGCAGATGGTGACTATGACCTGTTGAAAATGTATTCAAAACCAACCAGTGTCCGGGCTTGTGAGCACGATGGCACACACACCCTACGTTGTGACAGCACTTTTCTATGTTTAGGAACAAACGTTAGCAAATTCGGCTTGCCAAAGACTGCAAGGAGAATTCAGTTGGGCAACGTGGCTGATGGCCGACTCAGATTCATTACTTACGATGAATTAAAGAACAAGGCAGAGCTGTGGAGTGCAGGCTCTTGTGTTCCAGCTGACCCATGCCACTTGAAGGGCTTGTGTTTGCCCAGTCACGCGCATTGCACTTGCATTGCAGGCCATCAGCTGGCTGACTGTTCGGGCTGCGAAGCAAATTATTTCAGCGTGCCAGGAAAGGTGGGGCAGATGCATGACTGCAAAGCATGTCCAGGTGACGATGGCAAGGTTTGCTACGGTCGCGGCAGCTGCTTTGATGATGTGGCAGGGAAGGCGCATGCTCTTGGTCGGGAATCTACGGCTCGCCTCATTGCAAAAGGCAATGGCTCATGCAGCTGCAATGAGGTCCACTTCTATGGAAGCGACGATGAAGGTCGAAGCACCTGCATGGATGGAGTTTGCCCAGCTGGTACCGAAGAGAATGATGGAAGTTGCACTCCTTGCGCTGCTGGGACCTTCTCGGCAGAAGGTGGCTCTTGCAGGATTTGCTTTCCAGGAACATTTTCCCACACAAGAGAAAGCAAGTGTTTGACTTGCGCCCCTGGAACCGTGTCAACAGAATCAGGTGCTTCGGCCTGTGACGCATGTCCTGCAGGTACATACGAGGTTGACCATCAGTTGTGCAATGAATGCCCGGCTGGCTTTGTTTCTTCGAGGGGCAGTAACTCATGTACAAAATGCCAAGCTGGATCGCAAACACCAAAGCCAGGCAGCATCGCATGCGAATCATGTGCAGCAGGCACCTTTTCCATTGCTGGAAGCAGCAAGTGCCAGAGCTGCGTCACAGGAAAGTTCTCCTTGACGGGAAGTAGCAACTGTTCTGATTGCCTTCCGGGAACAGTCTCTTCCCCAGGCTCTTGGGCCTGCGATGTCTGTCCTGGTGGGACCTTTGCTGCTGCAGGAAGTGGTGTGTGTCACGCCTGTCCTGTGGGCCAAGTATCGGGCCCGAAGAGTGCTGCCTGCAAGAGCTGTGACAGCATCTTCATCCGCTCGACTCCTGATGATGCGAAACAGAGCTGCCAAGTTCTTGCGATGGATGTCGTTTTTGCCGTGATCTTCTGGAGTGCATGCTCTTGCTTGTGTTTTCTGTTTTTGGTTGGTGTCTCAGGACGCATCCCGATTTCAGATGTGTCTGCACGAGGTAAAAAAGTTGTGGTGACAACTTCCATGGCCCACTTTCTCCGGAAAAGGGCATGCCCGAAGGTTACTTTCGCAGGAACCGGCGTACCTGACTTGGAGGCATCTGGGAAGAGCTGGACAATCAAAGCCTTGAGTTTATACCAATTGACTCTGCACGGCGATGAGGGCACCATGCCACTGGACACGTCAACAGGACATTTGTACCTGAAGTTCCCACAGATTTTCTTGTCCACAGGTATGTGGCACTGTCCTCTCATTTTGTGGTGCTTATTCTTTCTTGCAGCCAGTGCAGGGGCTGCAAGCAAGCTCACTTGGCCACTAACTTTGCTGCTCTGTGGTCTGGGTCTTTGTGCGGGCTCCGTGGCTTTTGCAATGCGGCGCAGGTGGGGATACCAGAACTGGCAAGCTTGTTGATAATGCCGCTTCGCGACGAAGACCACCCTTGTTTTGTCAGTGTCAAAAGAACATAGTTCGCAAATTTCAGGCCACTGTTGTCCTCAATCGATGTTCCTTGTGGGTCTTGCGGGCCATGGCTGTCATATGGCCCACATTGGACCATGAAAAATCACAACTTCAGCATGGACCCAGGAGGTTTCCATGAAATCCCAAGCGTTACGGCTGTATTACGGCTGTACTATGGGGGATAATGTCGGAAGTTGAGATTTTTTTGGGGCAGGCGTTTGGCATCACCATAAAAAATGGATCTAAGATGACCGTGATGACCATAGTCCAGGTTTGATCAGGTCTGCATGTTTTAGGTAATGGGTATCTTTTTGAGAGCGCTTAGGCTTGAAACACTTTCAAAGAAGACAGCCTGTTCACAGTGGCTCCACATGGCCCCGTTGCAAAAGGACAAACTTCTGACCCAGACACAGGCACCCCATACAAAATGCAAATCTCGAATAGCGAGGAAATCCTGTTCTACTTATTAAATAGCCAGGTGATTTCCGCAGAATTTAGGGGCCAGTCACACCTGTACTTGCAATGGGATATGGCTATGGATGCTATTGCCTTGGAGTGCACATACAACATCATACATATTATATAACAATTTTGGAGGCCCAGTGGTTGGATGAGTGGCTACTATGCCAGAACACGCACTGCAATGCATGTTTGTTCCAGACGTGATAAACGCCGATGTTGCTTTACTTAAGCCCATTTTTAAACGCATGCAAAAGCATGTGGGCCACATCCCGCTCTTGCAAAAGGTTGTAGTCGAGCTATATTGGATTTGTTGAGCATTGGCCACCCTCTTCAAAGATTTTGGAAGAAATGTGCTTACACACGTTTACACAAAAAACTCTGGCTTGCAAGTCACACCGTTTCACCATCAGAAAATTGCAAAATACCAGGGGGCATGGAGACTTTCGGCCTTTTTGTGTTTTGTGAGCCTTCTGTAGCAGTAACTTTTTCCCCACCTGCCAGGTGAGGGTTGTTAGATTTTATGTCAGTTGCCTCCTCCTCCTGCCTCGTCCTCCTCTCCTCCTCCTCCTCCTCTCCTCCTGGTCCTCCTCGTCCTCCTTGTCATCCTTGTCGTCCTTGTCGTCCTCGTCGTCCTCGTCGTCCTCGTCGTCCTCGTCGTCCTCGTCGTCCTTGCTCAACTGCGACCCGCGATCCACAGTGTTCTCTGCCGGACCTCAACCACGACCACCCACGCCCAGTGTTCCCTGCCGGACCTCATCTGCGAGTATCCATGCCAGGTGTTCCCTGCCGGACCCCAACCGCGAGTATCCATGCCAAGTGTTCCCTGCCGGACCTCATGTAGGAAGATATGGGACAAAGAATGTGCAGAAGAAATTACTTTACTTCGTGTGATCCCCAGCATGACATTTATACATGTTCTTACTGGCACATCTTCTGGCATTCTATCTGACATATCTTCTGACATTCTATTTGGCATTCTATCTGGCATATCTTCTGGCATTCTATCTGGCAAATCTTCTGGCATTCTATCTGGCATATCTTCTGGCATTCTATCTGACATCTCTTCTGGCATTCTATCTGGCATATCTTCTGGCATATATTCTGACATATCTTCTGGCATTCTATCTGGCATTCTATCTGGCATTCTATCTGGCATTCTATCTGGCATATCTTCTGGAATATCTTCTGGCATATCTATCTGGCATATCTTCTGGCATATTTTCTGGCATTCTACCTGGCAAATCTTTCCCTGCCGGACCTCATGTAGGAAGATATGGGACAAAGAATGTGCAGAAGAAAGTTAGAAAGAATATCAGACAAGTATGTGATATATTACTTGCGAACTTGCAGGTGTGTGGTAGTGTGATCGGGGCAATGCCACTTCTGACTTTGCGGGTGGCAAAGTTTGAAGCAATCAGTTTGAACAGATGACAGAGTCACTGGGGTGGACAGAGACATTTCCATTTCTGTACCTTTGGAGCTGTTTGCAAAGACGCTTGAGACAGGCAACATCTTACAGCAAGTTACTACAAATTACTTGATGGGATCTCATGCTGGATTGATGCTTGAGACCGTCAACATCACACAGAGTTTCTATTGTGTATCACAGCTATGGTAGCATGGTGGATATGTGACATCGGAACATTTGCTGGAGCATTTGCGCCCTCATCTACTCGATCGCGGGCCAGAGGCAGGATGGACATCATCATAGAAGCATTCAGCAGGAGGAGGGTATGTGATCAGTAGTGTCTTCTTGCGTGTTTTTGTTTGCTTGGCAGGTGATGGCAGAGGGTGACCAATCTGCGAGTGCTGCGCAGGCGAGGAGTTTGAGTGGAAGTAAGCACATTGGCCAGTGGCTGCTTTCAAAAGTGTTGGAGAAGTGATTTGGAAAGCAGCTTGTGCTTTGGGACCTTGCGCAACAGCCGACGCGAGCTCAAGCACAAGCAGAAACGGTCAGAAACGTGAATAAGATAATAGTGCTCAAAGGATAGGGAGATGAAACGCTTGAGAATATAAATGTAGTAGGTGTATCTCTTCGAAATGTTTCAGTGAGAAAGAGTGGAGAAGTTACATACGATCTAGATATTTAGATGTCGCTTGACACTGCAAGATGGACACTGTCCTTTTGCACTTGGGAAGTTTGAACACATTGGGACTGAACTGGTTTTGACCGGGAAGGTCTTGTGTTTCAAGAGCCATGGCAAAGAGATCATGGCCATTTGGTGTCACGAGTTGGGATGACACTGTGAAATTTGCGCAGCTTTTGTTTGGTGTAGACGTTGCCTTTGAGAACTATGCAGAGAGATTGCCGCATAGATCGAATAAATCCTTCTTGCTATTCGCCAAAGGCGCTTGTGCTGAGGGAAGGCCCTTCTTCGAGATTGGAGATTTCATTGCACCACAGCTAGAAGAGATTCAACGTTGGGAAGAAAATGTTCGCAACAACAATGCTCGCCCAACGAAATCGCAGCAGATGCTGAATGCTGACGGATGGACTGTGTACTACTGGAGTGCGCAGGTGACGCGTGCTCCGTGTCTGTGTCGCTCCATCTTTGGAGCTGACGCTCACCAGAAACACGTGCCAACTTCATCGGCCATGTGGAAAGCTGGAAGCAGATTTGAGAAATTATGGGACGCCACATTGATGAAGAACTATGAAGCTTTTCAGAATCGAGACCTGCGTCCCACTTGGCTTGACAAGTCGTGGCAGGTGTTGTGGAACTGGAATGATCACAACAAAAATCATGGAATCAGCCCTCATTCAGATGAGTCTGCCACCTACAGCAATGTTGATCCGATCACGTCCTTTTCCTTTGGGCATGGGGGTGTGTTGACCTTGGGCTCCAAAAAAGGTTCAGTGACAAGAATGTTGTTCCAAGAAGGCGGTGACGCTTTGGTGATGGCAGGAGACTTCCAAGCAGAGTTTTGCCATGGTGTGCCGGCGCGCTCCACTTGGAAAGACTTGAAGTTGCTTCCTATGTTCGCTACAATGCAAGAGTGGGAGAAAGTTGGGCTGCAGCAGGAAATTGCTTTGCATGAAGGTGCTGAGCCAGAAGCCAAACATGTCCGTATGAATTGCACGGTCCGCTGGCACAGCACACATTGGGCTGGATGTCCGGTGCGGGGGCAGGAAGGTCATGGGACTCAACCGGTTTCGACTGGAGCTGCCCAGACGTCTTCAAGCTCTTTGGCGCCTGGCGAAGACCCTGTGAATGTTTCTGCTGGAGCTGCGGCAAGTACCCAAGGGACTCAACCGGTTGTGAGCGGGGCTGTCCGGGTGCCTGCTGCAAGCGTGGTGGATCCAAAGCAGTCGCTTCTTTTCACTGGCATTAAGAAGCGAGGTGTGGAAGAAGAGGCAACGCCCTCTGTCAGCACAGTGAAAACATCTCGTTCGGGTGAAGACTTGCTGCTGGAGCGCTCGGATGAGACAATTAAGAGTCTACTGGATTGTATTGAAGCATGCGTGCGACAGAATGATCTGTTTACGTTGGCCATTACCGGCACTCCATTGGTCGCAGCCACACAGGTGCATGCTGAGATGTTGGCGAAGATTGATGAAAATGTGAAAAATTTGAGGGCCCGGCTTCTGGCGGCATCAGAAGCCGTTGAAGCATGTTCGCGTTGTCGAGTTGACCGAGTTCAGTTCCAGTCGCTGAACCTGATGGAGCTGGCAGCGCAGCAGCGCAGAATGATTCACAGGGACCTTGGCAATTTCTACACTGTTGAAAATTCGTCTTGGCTGATAGAAACAACAATCAAACCCCAACAAAATTGTTTGAACAAAGAGATGCAGTATCGCAAGTGTTTGCTTTCGCATCGTCAACTGGAGTTACTTCTGGAAACTTTGAGCGAAACAATGATGAAGGAGTATAATGTAGGTTACTGATTAGTGTGGGGAGGCCCCCCCCCCCAAACAAATTTGGGTAACAGAATAGTGTGGAAAAAACAAATTACCGGGTACAGAATAGTGTAAAATCAAAAAAAATTGATAGATTTAAATTGATTTCAATTTATTTTGAATTGATTTCAATTTATTTTGAATTGATTTCAATTTATTTTGAATTGATTTCAATTTATTTTGAATTGATTTCAATGAACTATAGCGACTTTTATTCTGAACTATAGCTAGTTTTGTCTGAACTATAGCCATTTTTTTCTGAACTATAGATATTTTTGTCTGAACTATAGCCATTATTTTCTGAACTATAGCTATTTTTATCTGAACTATAGCTATTTTTGTCTGAACTATAGCTATTTTTGTCTGAACTATAGTTAGTTTTGTCTGAACTATAGCGACTTCTATTCTGAACTATAGCTAGTTTTGTCTGAACTATAGCCATTTTTGTCTGAACTATAGCCATTTTTATCTGAACTATAGCCATTTTTATCTGAACTATAGCTATTTATGTCTGAACTATAGCCATTCTTTTCTGAACTATAGATATTTTTGTCTGAAATATAGCTAGTTTTATCTGAACTATAGCTAGCTT